AACCGTTGGCTATTGGCTTGCATTGGGGGAAGGCTTTCTTGTTAGGTTTCCACCAACCCTTGAGCTTGTGCAAGGCAAATTCGCAGCGCTAAAGTCTCGAACGCCTCTTGTTGTTTGCCACTAAGAGCGGCTTGTCAACTGCCGCAAAGATGGTTTCCAAGCAATTGGATCCTCAACCACCGACGTCTAGTCTCAAGAGTCGGTGGGTTTGTGAAATCGGTGGGTTTCGTGCAACAAAAAACACCTGTCCAAGTCAGGGCACCTGACCTAGGTGCCATGGCCCCCCATGCCTCTGTTGCAATCAAAGGCCCGGAGAAAAGAAAGATCTCCCTGAAGGCGGCTTCCAAGAAACCTGCAAAACGCCATGATTTCTACCGGAAGCCAGCTTTGCTTTCGGCATTCGGAACTCCAATCTCCCGTAAAACTTCCAGGTTTCTACGACTCAAAGGGCTTGTTTTACAGGAACATCTACCAAATCCACCCCAAAACGAAACATCTAGCCCAAAACCACCGCACATCCGCGGTTTTCCCCTAGTTCCTCTTCTGAACCCGCGGCCCACGTCCCGAGCCCCACGCCGAACCCTCCGAAAAGCGGCCGCAGGCGGGGCCCCGGCTCCGCAAGGACCTGGCTCGCCTTCGCGGCGTCCGGGGCGCAGGCCTGCGAAGCGAATCGGCGGTTGGGACCTGAAGTGACCTGGAAGAATTGGTCTCCATCAGATTCCATCTGGAAGATAGAGAAAATGGAATCTTTCTTTTGGTCCTTGGCTGAACTCTCCAGGACCGCGTATTCTGATGAAGGGCCGGGGTGGGGGTGGGGGGGTTGTTATTCATCAGGGGTCAAGGACCGCATCTCTCCAAGAGAATCCTACACCGTGGCAACCATGCAGTGTGGGCTATAAAGCTCAATTCAGCAATGACCATGAATAGTAATGCCAAATTAGCCAGCCACGACATCCTGCAGGGCCGCGTATGAAGAACTGGGGGACTGGGGGGGGTTGTTATTCATCAGGGGTCAACATCACAACCGTTCTGAGATGCTACTGTGCATGGCTGCGAAATCCATTTCGCACCAACGGGCCCCATGGTTGAAACCGTAAGGTTGGCTGGTCTTTACAGGAATTCGTCAGAAACCAGGGTTCCTTGGGTGGTGCAGGATTTCGTCCATCCACAGCATGGGGGTGAATTACTCACTTCCCGAGTGGATGGCCCAAAAAAGTACCCCTACTCAAATGGCTTTCCAAAGAGTGTAACGACCAGGAACTCAGGAAGTGAAACTTGAATGGGGGTGCCCTTTAGTGGACATCAAAATTAGCTGGGATTCACGTGAGGTGGTTCCGTTGATCAAAATTCCGGTCGGCCCCAAATATTCGCGTTTCCCATTTAAAGGGTTAAATATCACATTTTAGTATCCGTTCGCGACATGAAATGAAACTATGGTTGAAATCATAACGTTTGGTGGTATTTATAGAGGAGTCCTCAGAAGCCACGATTTCTGAACTGTGTGGATTCCGCAACCATCCACATGTGATGTGGTTGATCAATATGTTCTTCGGCCCCCAAACGGGACAAGTGTCCCAGTGGACATATCATCTTGAGAGCTGCTCCGAACATTTTGCAGCGGGTTCTTCGGAATAAAACCGACCCTCCATTTCCGAAGTCCATCTCTGTCTCGTTTCTCTGTGGCAGCTTTTCTTGAATTGGGAGAAATGGTGTGTTAGAATTGTTACTTCTCAAGTTTCAGAATCTGCAAAAGACACCTGGGGGTTGATCAAAAGCTCCTCATGGGACCCTCCTATAAACCAGATCCCCAGGAAATTGGACCGGTCGTTCAGCCCCAATTCTGACAGGATTATATAAACTGAATTAAGCGATCCAACCTTTTCATAAGATCCTGGTTCAAGTAGCTAGCCTCTCCTGTCCCTTGCTTTCCACACACGAAAATGTGTCGAAAGGACCAAACCCTCTGAATGGTTGGTTTCACGTTGGTTTCCGCCCTTTAAAGGGCCCCCAATTTTGACGAACTGAAGAATCTCACCAGACCGGGGAGATAAGTTCAATACGCAGCCCATTAAAGACGAGGAATTCAATCAGGGAGGGGTGAGGGGACCCAGTCTAGGGGAGAGGAAACACATTGAGTAACTGAGGGGTTTTGATACATCCAGTAGAAGGGCAGAGGAGAAGGGTTCACCGTCGGCCTTTGGGGGCAGCAAGGTCCCCAAGGTCCCCAAGGTCCCCAAGGTCCCCAAGGTCCCCAAGGTCCCCAAGGTCCCCAAGTCTCCGGGCGCCGGCGATGTTGCCCACATCCTGGTCTCAAAGAAAAGGGGACTTGAAGCCACAAGATGCGGCCCAACGGCTTCCAAGCGGTTTCCCCTGTAAAACCAACACAGGGGCTCCCCCAACACACCCAACACCCATGTCACCGGACTGAAAGGACCCTGGGACGAGGATTGAAAGCAACACCTTTGCGAGGTCGCCATATCCGGCCCAGATGTCAGGAAGACACCTCCAAATCAGAGGTTCCTCTTGAAGTGATGTACTTTTGGAAGGGGAATCCCCTGAGTAGCTCGGCCCTCTTAAAACTTACTTTCCAAGGGATGACATGAATGGCTTCCCCCCTCTTGCATCCGGCAAACCTTAAAGCTTGGCCTTGGCAGTAGAACTCGCGCAGACGTGGTCTTGAGCTGTGATGTGTCCCAGCGTCCGAGACAAACTCAGTGGGCAGCTAGCCCAGATGATCCAGGATGTTTTTTGCGGATAAGGAGAAAGCAAAAGTATTTCTCTTGAGCTTCCTGGCGCTCAAACCGCAGTGAGGCTTCCTGAGGAAGAGATGCCACGCCACCCATGTGTCATGAATCACAGACAAGTGTCCTAGGCGAGATGAGGGGCTGGCAGCTCTGCATTGGAGGGACCCCAAGTGGGGACCCTCGGGGGTCCTTAGCGCATTGCCAAACGTCTTTGGGATACACTTTAGAAAACTTGTCTGGTCATGACCCTTAGGCAGTGTCCTTTCGGTTCATCTTGAAAGTCAAACAAGGGGCAAGGCACCGAGAAACCGAGTCGCGGCGTGTTTATGCCAACTTCATGCAGCGTTTGCCGAGTTCTGAACCCCACTCTAGCTGGCTTTAAGGGTAACGCGCTTGACAATGCCAAATGCATGTTTAACCCTTCAACGGATGACAGGCAAACTCGAAGACCCTCATGTTTGGTGTCCATATCGTACTTGCAGACTCCACAGTTACCACGGCCTCTCGGCATCAATTCTTATGATTTCCTTTCCTACCCAGTTCCAACGACCTATTGCCAGTGTTTGTATTTGTCAAGGGATGCCCATCGCAGCATTGACTACGATAGAATTAAATCATTTTCACAATAGTGCCCCTTCTCCCCACCGCGAGAACCGTGACTTCCATGTCGGTGTCCTTCAAAAGCTTCCCAAAATCGGGCAGGCATCAAACTAAGACCGCCCAATTCTCTCGGAACCATTAAAACACAAAATGGCCCCCGAACCCCTCGGGAGGTTCCTGCGATGATGGAACCTACGGGCGCTCAGCCAAATTTGCAGAACCCGTGGCTAGCTACTAGAGTTATAACCCGCCTGTTCACTCGGGACGAGTCCGCGTGGGTTATATCCCAGGCCAACAACCGTCTAGCTTGGCGATTCGAACACCCAAGTAATGTTGACCCCGGATTTACAAGCCCCTCTTTATTAGTGTCCCTGGTTTTAGTAAGGGGTCGTCGCTTTTGCAGGGGAACACCCCCATGGTATTACGTCAACATGACCCTAGAAAAAGGGGTCATGACCCCATATTTTTGGGCAATGACCTTTTTTTTTAAGAGGCTGGAACGCCATGGGGGCTGTGTTTTTCAGGTGAAGTGCCTCGTGTACATAGTTTCAAGTATAGTGTTGTTCATGCCGGCTACGATGATAAGGCAAAGTTGAAGAAAACTACAACTAAGCTGCGAGCTGCTTGCATTGATAGAAAGCAAGACATTGTAAGAAATGAGACCGCAAGCAGCAGACATGAGATTGTGCTATAGTTGGAGCCAAGCCACCTTAGCTTTGTGCAGGAGGTTTGTGGCACTTTAGGCTGAAACCTCAAAAAACCGAGAAAACCAAAAACCCAACAAAAACCAAGATTGCAGACCCTAACCCCTTGGGTTCACCCCCGGTGGGGTCTGCAATCTTGTTTTGTTGGTGTTCTCGACGTTTTTGGCACTTTAGGCTGAAACCTCACAAAACCTCGAGAAAACCAAAAAACAAAAAACAAATGCAGACCCTAACCCCTTGGGCCCACCCCCCTTGGGGTCTGCAATCTTTCTTTTTTGTTTTTTAGTTTTCTGGTGGTTTTGGGCACTTTTCAGCCTAAAGGTTTTGGCACTTTGGGCTGAAACCTCAAAAAACCTTAAACCCCCCCCCCAAAAAAAAAAAAAAAAAAAACAAGATTGCAGACCCTAACCCCTTGGGTTCACCCCCCTTGGGGTCTGCAATCTTGTGTTTTTGGTTGTGTAATTGTTTTTTTTCTCGATTTTTTTTAGAATTTAGCACGAGGCTCTTTGATGTTGGTTGTTTTGGGCTTTGTCTGTTTTTCTTCTCCTTTTTGATTTAATGGTTGATTTGGGTTTTGTGCCCTTTTTATCTATTCTTACTACCTGCAAGAAACGCGCCCCCATGGTGTCCCCTTCTGTTGATGAAAGGGCCGTGGAGACTCCAGGTATTCATATGGGGGTGTTCCCCTGCAAAAGTGACGAACCCAAACGAAAACCAGAGACGCCCCCATACTCCTGCACCACCTAAGGAACCCTAGTTTCTGATGATTCCCCTGTGAGTACCAACAACCAATGGATTCAACCGTGGTTTTTCTACGTGGTGCGATTTCTGGATTTCGCGTCCATCCACAGTATGGGTCTGCCTTTTTTGTACCCCTTTCTTGGTGACTTTACAGGAAAGCCCAAAGGAACCCATTCGCTTCCTTGCATTCCCTGACACGGGTCTGGGCGGTCTAAGCTGAGAGCTCCGAGTCCTGCGGGCTGAAGCTGGCGAACAGCCCCGCAGAGCTCAGCACCAGCAGCGAGTGCTCGCCTGGCCCAACCGCTCCAAGGCGCAAGGAAGGCGACTCGAAGGGAGGGTCTCGGAGGGGGCGAAATGGACCTCAACCATTCGGGGGGGTTCCGAATTTTGTTGGTACGGTGTTTGGAGAGCCATGACATAACATAGCAAGCTGTCAAAAGCGGGCCTCGACCTTCGGGGGTCCATAGAAATGTTGTTTTTGTGGGTGCCCTTTTTGTTGGAGGGCCATGGCATGAAATGGTTGCTGCCAACTAAGGATTTACAAGCGGTCAAAAGCTTCGGACGACTACGAGTGAGAGACCTGCGGATTCGCATATTCAACGTCTCTACTTGCTGTTAGGAATATCCTTTTATGGTTTGTCTTATGGAATCGGACCCCCAAAGCCGCATCGGTGTTCCTTGTTGTTTCCCTGTTAAGAGCTGCCAAAATTGGGGGAACCAACTCAAAAAGACCCCCCAAATAGGTTTACATTTGGGTGATGTGATTTTGCAGCAGAGGGGCGTGTTTCCCTAGGTAATCAACCTTCGTTTGGTCTTCCCAGGGCTCCCCAAAGTGATATGTAAGGGTTTCTCTCAATATGGGAATGTTCCCATTCTTAAACAACAAAGGAAACTAAAAAGGAGGGGACGTCCATCCTCCGCTGTTTGCTTTTCACCTTGACGTATTCCTTGGGGCTTCCCCAAACAGGTTGACAGCCCTCGGCTGTCAAAGGCCCTCGGCTGCTCACTCCCCTGCCTGGCGATAGCTCCACGGTCTGGCGAAGCGGACACGACACCGGGCCAAATTGGGCCAGCCGAAACCTTGACGTTGCAAGGGGAGCAACCATTCTTAAATTTGAGCAGTTAAGTGCTTGGATGTCAACCACTAAACCACAATAAGCAAACATGCAAACATGGTTCCCAACAACAACCAAGAAACGGGTGCGTGTTGTTGCCAAGGTTCCTGTGGGCTGGCTAGTTGAGGAAGCCCTACTGTGGATGGACGAAATCCTGCACCACTTTGAAACCATTGGAACTTCTGCTCCCCTGCCAAGAGTTTTTAACATTTAGTTGTCTAATGGAAAACCCATGAGTTGGCAAAAGTTAAAGTCCTCACATCCAAGCAAAATGCACCAAAGTTATTGCCAAGGTTCCTGTGGGGGCTTGCTAGCTACGGAAGCCATTCTACCGCATTTTCCGGGATGGGTGCTGGAGAAATGAAGTGTATACACCACGATTGTTGAAGGGTATATGCTGGTTGGAAAGCTTATGTCGGTGATTGTTGGCCTCAATACATCCACAACCCGCACCTGAAATTGCGTGTTTTTTGGAGAGGGCCCTCCTTCAAATAAACCAAAGGCAAGCCAAAGGGGAAAGCAGCCTTGGAGGTATCTCTAACAATGGAGTCTAAGAAATCTGGGTATCAAAGTACCCCACGTGTCTTGGTGAATTAGAACACCAGCTCCAAACAATCTCATCAACCAAACAATCTCATCGTGGAACCTTCATCGAAACACCTTCCTCAGATCCCTGTCTGCAGAAACAAAAATAAATGAGCTGGAACCTCTTCGTCCGAACTCATGAAAACTCCCTCATGAGTTGCCACGGCGTTTCCTGAGGCCACGGGACTCAGGTCAGCTTCCCAAGTCGCTTGGATGAGCGGACTGAGCCGGGGACTTGGAATTGAACCACTGGTGTTCTTGTAGAGGGTACGTGGGAAATCACCAAGCGACCAGTTGGAGGGGAGCTGAAAAGGAAGGTTTTCGCGCCAACGGGCGATGTTTGTTGTTTCGTTGGGATCCGCACATGGCCCAAAAGCAATCCTCGCGGTTTGCCCGAAGTGTTAACCCCCCCCCCCCCGCAACCCCAGCTGATGCGGTCGGAGAAACGATGACCCTGCCGCGCCTCCAGGAGAAGGTCCTCAAAAGCACGAGACATTGTCCCAATTGAAGTGTAGGACCATCCCCAATGACCAGATCAATCAAGGGGTTCCTGGTGGGTTGTTCACCCAGTTGGACCTCCTTAGATCGCCTCCCAAATGCTTGGCCTCCAATAGGAAACAAACCATTTGATGTGTCAAAATAGTTGGGCCCTTGGAGTGGTGGATTGAGTATGCGTCAAACAATCGACCATTTGAGTATGTGGATTGTTGGCTTTCCTTTGGATTGCCACACTTTGGGGGCCTTTGCAAAACATGGTTTCAGCCCTGCCAACCACCCCCCCCCCCCCAAAGACCCCCACACAACCGGTTCGGCCATAATTTGGCCAGACGGATTCTTTAAGGCTGGTGAAAAGACGCCTTCCAATGCTTCTTTTTGACGTGGCCAAATGCTCCGGCGCTGACCAACATGTAGCCGGGCCAACAAGTTGGTCTGCTTGGCTTTTGCGGCCACGGGGCCCGACTTTCCAAGCCTGTTGTCCTCTTCTCGTGGAAATCCAAGGGGGGGGGAAGTTGTCAAAATTGGGGGGGGGGGTCCCTCGGCATCACAAAAATTGGCAACCTAAACCCAATGCTGAAAAAGGCATCCCTAGAAGAAATAGCCCTCGAGTAGCGGAAAGCGAAACGACACCCTTTTTGCTGAAAGATGGGTGTGTCTTTATTTATGAGTACCCCTTTGTTGGTGGTTCTAAAGGGAAACCAAAAGGAACACCATCCCTCTTTCTTTTTTTTTGGGGGGGGGCTCCAACCTTAAAAAAGATAAACTTAAATTTTTAAGGGCCCCCTCCAAAAAGAGTTTAAAAGGGGAAAAAGGCCTGGAGGTCTCAGGTACTGAAACAGCGCTTCCGGCCAGAAAACCCATGGCGCAACACATGTTTCCAATGTCGATGCCAGAACAAAAGTGCCGCCCAATCAGAGTAAAGCCATCTAATGTCTCACAATTAGTTGATTCGAGTTTGAATGTTGTTGCTGTCACCGCCACTATCACGATGGCCCCAAGTCACCACAGAGCCATCTTCCAGGATGGCAGCAAAAGCATAAAATGATGATTGGATCTGCTGGATCCGTATTAATTGCTCTTGCACCTCACTGCTGTCACCTCCCCAGCCAGGAAGACCCCAAGTCACCGCAGAGCCGTCATCCAGGATGGCAGCAAAAGCACCATGAGTTGCTTGAATCTGCCGGACGCACACCAACTGCTCTCGCACTGCACTGCTGTCACCGCCAAGCCCAGGATCGCCCCAAGTCACCACAGAGCCGTCGTGCAGGATGGCAGCAAAAGCATAAAATGTTGATTGGATCTGCTGGACCCGCACCAATTGCTCTTGCACCTCATTGTTGTTATTTCCCCAGCCAGGAAGACCCCAAGCCACCGCAGAGCCGTCATCCAGGATGGCAGCAAAAGCACCATGAGTTGCTTGAATCTGCCGGGTGCGCACCAACTGCTCTCGCACTGCACTGCTGTCACCGCCAAGCCCAGGATCGCCCCAAGTCACCACAGAGCCGTCATCCAGGATGGCAGCAAAAGCACCCGCAGTTGCTTGAATCTGCCGGACGCGCACCAACTGATCCCGCACCTGGCTGCTGTCGCCGCCATGGTTGGGATTGCCCCATGTGAGTGCAGAGCCCCCTTCAACATACAGTGCGAATGCTTCGTGAGTGGAAGCTAGCTTGGCAGGTAGCACAACGGCGCCAAGACTGTCCCCATCTCTCACGCCGATGTCAGACAGCGTGGAGGACGGATCTAGGGGCTGGCCTTTAAAAGCAAGCTTCAGAAAGCGGCGCTTCAACTGACGCTGTGCCTGCGCTTTCAATTCCCGGCCACTCGACCCTGACGGCAGTGTAAGGGAGCATGTCTTCCCACTCCGCAAGGACACATCCACTTGCATGGCGCACTTGGCACCCCGGTCGCAGCTTGTCAGCTCCCCGAAACCCTTCAAGAGCCAAAGCCTTTCGGGGCAAAACGCCTGCCCCAAGGTACCCCTGGCATCCCAATAAATATAGCTAGTTAAACGGTACCCTATAGCTGCACCTGTCTGGGCATGTTTTGCAAACCGGACCTGGAGGTTGGGATCACTTTGGGCAGCGAAAAGGGCTCAGGGCTCGCCCAAGTCGAACAACCCAACGGCTAGGAACCAAGTTTACAGAGATACCTCTGGTCAACCTCACTCCGCTTTCAGGCCCGTGCTTTTTCGCGTTTCGGGGAAAACAACAACATGAAAACCCCCGTTGGAAGCCCGGGACATTCAGCTAACAAACTGGACTTCTTCCATAAGGACCTGTCTTGGATCCTACGAAAACCTCTAACCCAAAACGGCAATTCGGGGAGACATGTCAGCAACCAAACAAACAGTACAACCGCGCTGACCCGTCCTCAATCCTAAATCTTGTTGATGCCGCTGCTTTTCAAAAATATATGCCAACAAGCTCACTTTTGTTTTCGTCCATTCATTCCAAAAGCAGCGCACTTGTGTGTGCGTGTGTGTGTTCTTCACTTGTTGCTCGCGTTGTTTTTTGTCCAACAAGGCAAGCTCATTGTGTGTGTGTATGTTTTCCCTGGCAATCAAACTTGCTGCTCAATAGATTCCTTTAAGGAAGCCACAAGATTCATAGGGTTCGTTCCCTGCCTATCGCACCAGCAAGCAAAGCCCCCCCCCCCCCGGTGTTGTTCCCAGTCAAAGCCCCTCCCCCCTGTTTTGTGTTTTTGCAGCTCACTTCTGTGTTTTTCATATTACTCTCATGTTTTTCTGGCGAACAAAGCCCTGTTGCCATAGGTGGCCTTGTGGAAAATAGATGGCCCTGGAAAATGGAACAACACCCATCTAAACCAGTGGAACCCATCTCTTTTGAACCAGGACACCTGCCTGTTGCTCAAAGCCCCCCTCTTCCAGGCCCCCCCCAAAATTCCCCCCCCCCCCCCCCAACCTTCCCCCCCCCCCCAGAATCCCTCCCCCCTCCACCCCCTCCGCTCCTCCGCCCGCAGCGCCGCCTCGCCGCCCGCCCCGGCGCTGCGGGCGTTCTGCGCCTTCACGGCGCCGGCGCCGGCGCTCTGCACCGCCTGCGCCCCCGGGCGCCGGCCGCCCGGCAGCGCCACCTGGACCGCGAAGCGGTTTTTTGGCCGGAAAGATCTCAGCTTCCCGGGGGAGGAATCCGCCAATTGGCTGGTGTACCACTAAAATGGTGGTTTTAGCACAAACAAGTTGGTTGTGGAGGACTGGGGAATACGCAACAATTGGTTGGTGTTTACCACTAGAATGCTGGTTTTAGCACAAAAACAAGTTGGTTGACCAGGTGGATGGGCAAGAAACAAAATGCTGGTTGACCACGAATATGTTTGTTTACCACTTAAATGTTTAGTTGACCGCTAAAATGTGTTGTTTACCACTCAAATGGTAATCGGTAGTCACGAAAAGCGTGCCAAGAAACTGGGGAAGGGAAGTTTTTTTAGGTTCAAGTTGTAATTTGCTGGTAGGTTTCTCAGGAAATGCCACGTTTGGAGTTCAGCGTGAAACTTGCTGCTACGAATTTGGGGAAGCAAGCCCATTGTCTGCCGTTCATCCATCGCTCTCGGTGTTTGGGCTCTACAAACTTGCCAAGGTGTGCAATCAAGAGAGTGTGTGGATGCAATCAACAGAGTGGTGTTTTTCCTTTTCCTGCAACGAAGGATCAAACCCCATAGAAGCGGTGCCTTAAAAAGAAAAAAGGCCGAAAAAGCCGCTCGAAAGCTTGATAATCCTTGGAGTTACCATCAAAACAATGGTTGGGCTGATATTTCGCCACCATGGTTTTTACCGTTCCGGATTTCTTATCATCTAAATTGGGTCCCAAGTTGCTATTCGTTGCATGGGGGCAAGTTGAACCCTGAAAGGGCCAGTGTACTTCGCAAGTGGCTAGCTTTTGCATGGTTTGTTTCAACCCACACGGAGACTTATTTAGCTGTGGCTCAAACCCAATGGTACCATTTTGGGGTAGGTGAATTCACCACCCATTTTCGAACCTATTTTTCTGGGGGGATTGGGGATGTTCACTGGGGTACGATTTGGGCTTTCGACCCATGGCCCTATAACTGGTGCGGGATTTTGACCCAAGGCCTTATAACCACGGCCCTTTGGTGGGTGATCTCACCATGGCTTGGGAGAGACGCCAAGCTCACCTGGCCCCCCTGCCGAACCGCCGATCTGCTCCGTGGGCCGAGCCTCGCGGAGAAGACAGTGGTCCCATGAACTTCGAAGACTCTAAAGGAAATAACCCAATCCCAATGGAACCTGACGTTTTGGGGAGGTCCTGGTTTTTGGACCATCTTCCTTTTGAAAGCGACCAAGCAATCCCACCAATGGAACCTGAGGTTCGGGGGTCCTGGTTTTTGAACCATTCTCCCCTTTTTAAAGCGACCAAGCCTCTGGAATCGCAGGATCGAATATGCCAAATAAGGCCAAAAAAGACCTTCGTGGGGGAAGGAATACCGTCCCACCACATAGAACATGACATTCGGGGAGTGGAAGAAGAACCCCGATCAGGCTCCATGTTAATTGGTGGGAGGGTAAATACGCCTCAAGGCCAAAAGGCCTTTATGCTGGGGGTTGGTTGGGGGGTTGTGAATTTCGGCCCTTGGCCCCCCGATTCAAGGTTGCTCCCCAGGCAAACGGATTCTTCTTCCGTCTGGGATTAACAACGTGGTGCTTGAAACGTGTTTGCACGGTAATAGCCGTTTTCCATTGACAGTGGACGTTTTGGGGCTTCAAAGCTGCCTTCCGAGGCTCCGGTCCCGGTTTCAACGCGGCTTTCAACGTGGTAACTTGTTGCTGATGGCAACGATTTGGCGAAAAGTTGCACAGGGAGCTTCTGGAAAACCCGATTGGCATGGAGAAACCATGCGAAACCGCCAAGCTTCTGTCTTTTGACGCTTTGATGATCCTGAATTCTGACCGTTTAGCAACCCTGCGCCACCCAAACAAATCGGCATATACCTGTCGCTGCAGTGCCCCGTTAAAACAGAGGGGTGTGTGTGTGTGTGTGCTGTGTTACGTCTGCGTGTTGTGTGATTGCTCTGTTTCTTACCTAAATGAATGAATAAACAAGCAAACACATAAATAGGTCCCACCCAAACAAGTAAAACATGTAAGCCATGGTCATGTCAACTCTAAAAACCGACAGAGGAAATACCAAGCAAATGGCAGATGATGATCCAAACTCCAGGCAAACAACAGGATCCAGGTTGTAAGGAGAGGAGAGGACTGACAAGTGGCAAAAGTGAACTTGTGCAGGAGGGGTGTGGAAAATGGTCTGAAAAGGGTGGAGAAGGGCAAACAAATGAGAAAGATGGAAAATGAGGGAACCATCGCACAACACGAGGTACAACCAAGCAAGGTACCTGTAATTTTTGCCTGACCGCTCATAGGCCTAGGTTCAACCAGCAGCAAAAAACCTTTCGCTGTGGCAACAAAACCCGCCAACCTATGTGGCAAGTGGGTTTATGACCCTGGCTATGACTGGGGCATGACTGGAATGACTGTCGACGTGTAACCATGGTTTCAACTCACCTACAAAGTAAAACCCACTCAACCTTGAACTCACTCAACCCCAGTTGCTTGTGACCCCCCGAATCCCCAGCCAGATCCCCGGCCGAAGCGAGCTTTTCCGAGACCCGCGCCGCCCGGAGCTTCAGCAGGGCCTTGGCGCGCTTCTGCTGCGGCGTCTCCTTGCCGCTGCGCCGCATCACCCCATCCTCGCGGAAAGCGCGCGGAAAGCGCGCGGAAAGCGCGCGAAGCAGGTCGGGGCGAGGGCATCGTGTTGTGTGTTGCGTTTTTCTTCTTTTTTTGCATCTGGACATGAAAATGAATGATCCATCCCCTTCAGCTTCCGGGGGAAAGTAACAATGCCATCTGACACGGGAAACCAAAGATGGCACAAAGCCAACCCCCCAGGCAGGTTCTCAAGAAGCCCTGCCTGCGCCTGGCCGGGAAATCGGATGGGTTGTGTTTGATGTGAAATTCGGTTCTGGCAAAAATCCTTCAACTCTCCATAAAGGCGTCCGGCGCCTTTCCTCTGTCTGCGTCTGTGGCCCGCAAAATCTAACCCCATCAATAGGAACAAATACCCTCCCACCAATTGACACATGGAACCTGAGGTTCGAGGGTCCCTTTAAACGGAAAATTGTCTTCCATTCGATTCCATTCCATGTTCACAATCCTGGCAGCCGCCTGGGCTCTGGTGTTTGCTGATTTGCAGCTGGCGTGGGCTGGCCAGGGGGATGAAAGAAGTGGGTCGGAATTGGCTGGGCTGAGTATGGCCTGTGTGGCTTGGTTTGGTTTGCGTTGGTTTCTGTAGCCTAGCCCATTTTCTGCCAGCTACAAGGGTATCCGCTTGCTAACAATCGTGGAAATGGACAAAAAGCCTTCTCAGGAGGACTGCAGTCTTCCAAAACCTTTCTGTCATCTTCCACAATTCTCGGAAAGAAGGCTCTCAAATCTAATGGAACCGCGTGTGCGCGCACTCGCGCACACACACACACATATGGAGGTTTGCAGCCCGAGCGAAAGATCTTGCAGATTGCCCAAGTGATTTCTCATGCCGCTCAAGGAGACCCATCATGCCGCTCGAGGCGACCCAATGTATATATTGGGAAATCATTACGAAGGAAAATACCCAAACCGCCAGCAAACACACACACACACAAATTGAAGGATCTTACGTAGGTAGGGAAATAGTTAGACCACGTTTAGTGTTTTCTGAGTAGTGGCTTCCTCTTGGTTTTCCCTTTAAGACTATCCACAATGGGATTCCCAGTGTTGCGACACATTCGCATCGGCTTCATCATTTCCAACCCCAACCCACAACATCTTGTTTAGATGTCGTTTGCAAGGCCCAAGGTAGAAGGGCTTGTCTCGAAATAGGAACCCTGGATTTTTTGCGGTGTTGCTTTCAATTCCTTTTGAGACAGCCCTGAAAACGGTTGCCCTTTTTGCATGGTTGGCCTAAAGAGCAAGAACACGCCGGAAAACAAACAGAACCCGGGTAAGTCAAGGTTAGTAAGGCAAAGTGTGAACGAATAGATGCCTTTTGATTGGTTGCCATGCAGACCTTTTTTCGTAGCTCGCAGGTTTTCCAATACCGATATCAGGCCACGGCAACGGGAGCCATGAGAGCCGTGTCTGCCCATGATGGTCCTTGGCTGCACAGGCCCCTTGCGAGTGAGCAGCACCCAACATCAACCCTAACTCACCACAGTCAGATGAAGCAACCCCAGTGTCTTTTCTCTCAAACCAGTGGCAACACCATAAGGCTGCGTTCGACCCGCTCGCTTTCTTCTTTTCTTTGCGCAACACCTTTCAGTACCGCTTTTAGAGCCCGGGGCGTTTCCGGGTGTCCGGGTGTCCGGGGTGAAAGGGGCTTTCGCCTTTCGGCTTCTGACATTCCAAACTCACAAATCGGAGTTGGTCTCTGAGGGTGCCAGTTTCACGTTGGCTTACCGGGAAACCAAAAGCTGGACATCGCCATATTTATCTTGGTTTTTTTTTGCGGGGGGCTCCCTCAACTTTTTGGTCGGTTTACAGGGAAACCAAAAGGGGTACCCATTCGGTACATGCTCACTCCATGTACCGAAGGATATGGAAAATTAAAAGGAACCTATTTAGTACATGTTTACTCCATTTACCAAAGGATGTATCATATGTCTTTGAGACACACCTCCACCTCTTGCCCCCGGACCTCGAGAACCCCCCCCCCCCCCGACGTCACGCCTTACCGATCTCGCTGGCGCTGGAGGTGGCAGTGGCGGCCGCTGCCAGACCCTCACCCCAGAGCATGCCTCGCGGTCGAGCGAGCCAGGTAGCAGCGACTGGTAGATTGCTGTAGTCATAGGTGTCCTTTTGGGGGAAATGGATGGGTTGCCCTGGTAGATAATAAACAAAAACAAAAAAACTGGTCAACCAGGAATCGCCATCTATGTTTCGACCAAAACAACCAAAAAGGACACCTATGACTGTAGCTGTTCCCCCTCAAAAGAAGACGTTTTGACTCCACTTTTCGAGACTGACCAGAAGAAGAAGCCACCACTTGTTGCTGTGTTTTCCCCCAAAAAAACAAGAAGAAAGTCCTGGAACTTGGGGAGCGAGAAGACTGCAAAGGAAACATGCCAAGTGCAAATTGTCGCTTTTTTGGCAGACGGTCCTATGCGTAAGAAACCGAGCCTCTTGATGCAGGGGCCAGGGGTTTCCAGTTGCTTTCTGAGTGTTCCCCCGACCGACCCCCACACCTCAAACAAGCCCCAAGCCACCCGAAGCCCGAAGCCTGCCCCAACACTGCCGCCAAATCCACCACATCCGCCAAACCACTCCCCTCGTTCTTCACATCGCCTGCACAGTTGCCGGCCACCACCACGTGGAGCTGGCGCCCCACCTCTCATGGCTTCCGATTTTCCAGTTCTTTTCCTTGAAGCCAAGATGAAAAGCTAGGTGCTCCAGATTTGAGAGGTTGGAATAAAAGGGTAACCACTTTTTTCTGTAGTCTAGTTTAGTAGGGGAACCCTCACCAAAAAAGGGGAGAGAAAAGGGCACTACTTGGTCTCGAGAAGTGGAGTCCGGTGTTTCTTTTTTGGAATCACATATTTGAAATCACTCCTGGCCTCGCCCCGGTTGTTTTTCCCCAGATAGCTGAAAGCTATGGGTTCTAACTTCTAATAAAAGGGGAAAGTGATTTGCGAGATTGATGGGAGGGTGCCAGGGGGCGTGCAGTTTGGGTGCTGGTCCGGGTGCTAGCGTACATGCAGGTGACGGTGCGGGCGCATGTTTGCAAGATTGACGGTGCTGGTGACGGCGCGGGCGAATGTCTGTGAGATTGACGGCAGGGTGCACGGGGGCATGCAGTTTGGGATGCTCTTTAGGGCGCTGTTTGGAGGCATTAGTGACGGCGTGCGAGATTGACAGCCTGGGGCTGTTTGGGGCTCTCTTCGGGGGGTGCTGTTGGAGGTGCTGGTGTACAATTGTCGGCATGTGTTTCGCTATCTGGGGTCTATGCTGGTGTGTTTTTGTGTCTTCCCGTCTGGGGGTCTCGGGTTTCCCTTCTCGTTGAAATCTCGCCTGGGGGTCCCGGTGCTTGTTTTTGTTGAATTCACACCTGCGGGCCCGGGTGCCTTTTCTTTCAAAATCCCTCCTGGGGGTTCCAGTTTTTTTGTTGAATTCACGGCGGTGTTTTTTTCTTGAAGTCAAGCTTGGGGGCTCTGGTGTTTGATTTGTTTAAACCACGTCCAGGCCTGATTTAAAAACAAAACAAAAAGAAGACACTAGGACCCCAGGTGTGATATTATCAAAATGAAAGACACGAGGGCCCGGACGCATGAATTGAAACAAGTCAAAAGAAAAAACACCGGGGCCCAAAGGCGTGAATTCAACGAAAACAAGACCGGGATCGCAAGCAAAATGTCCAGACGCAAGAAGAAAACCACTGGAGCCGGCGGGATTTCAAAAAATGCACCGGACCCCCGATGTGTGATTTCCAAATAAAACACTGGAACCGTGATGCTCTTTTTGGAATCACCAGTCGCTCACTCACTTGCTTGCTCGCTTCGTCGTCTGTAAAAAAAATAATTCAAAATGAGGAATTTCAAAATAAATACTGCTGGTGTGATGTTTTGTTTCAACACCGGTTCCAAGAAGAGTGCCAATTGGCTTTAAGGTATCCAGAGGTTTGGTCACCTGTTACGAATGCCTCGGACTTGAGCAAAAACATACCAAGGGCTGCCGCAAAACCTGCCTCGCCTATCAAACACAACGTAACTGCAAGGCCCTTCACCCCACCTTCGAAGAAAGCTTCTTAGAACCTTTGTTGAAGCCAAGGTGCGGATATTTCGGGCTGAGTCAACATGCACTTGGCTGTTGCTAACATCTGGTTGGGTTACAGCCTGAAACATAGAATGCACGGATAAGGGTATCCTTGATTCCAGGCTCGTGCCCAGCAAGGAAACCGGGCGGCAAACTTGGGAAAACGCGGTGCAAATCGGCTCGACCTTACAAGTTGTCTGGAAAATGATGGTGCTTGTGCGAAGGCATCTTGAAAGTTCGGAACTCACATAATCTACTCGTCTCCCTAGCAGCGTTCTGGGGGTCAGGTGCTATTGTGACTCTGACTCAGAGGCTCCCCCAAAGACCCTGGCAAAAGGGTAGAACAAATGATACTTGGTAAGGGCAAACAAGAGGAGCGACGACAATTTGTCTGCCTGCGGTTTGGTCATTAAGCTCAGAGCAACCCGGCGCCTTCCCTGGCAAAGGCAAACCAAGGAAAACAAAGAGATTGCCAAGGGAAGGGGCCCCTTCCTTGACCAAGCGCTTGACCATTGAGCGCTTTCTCTAATCTCTTGCTGGCCAAGGGCGCTTCTCATCTTTAAACACCCAGCCCATGTGGGAGGGGGTGTCTTTGTTGAGGGGGTCCTTTTGCCCCCTTTTTTTGTGGTTTCACCAGAAAACCAAGCGAAGCCTCCAATTTAGAGGGTCCGTTCGCTCTTCGGTGCTGAAAGTCTTGGAAAAGCTCGGCGCAACCCAGCCGTCGCTTCACGGGCCAGGAAAAAAAACAACGAATTCCTAGAAAACCCGAAGCCCGAAAGGTCAACAGGGCTTGCAAAGGAGGGGAACCCAACCAGTTTGTGGTTTTGTTGGGTGCCCCTCTCCACAAACGGCCCTTTTTAAGCCGGTACCGAGCTTCAAAGGACACACCCAAATGCTCGACTTGCTTTGGACTGCGAGCTACAGCTGCCTTCTCCCTGCAAGGATGTGTCGGAAAATGTGAACTCCTTGCATACCAGCCAATCTCAAAATTATGTATGTGTCTGGTGCAAGGGTGAAAATCTGGCCCAGCGTCCATAGTAGGTTTTTGCCAAGGTCTCGTTTTTTGATTGCACTGAGGATGTCTGCGTCTCTGTTTTACTAACACCTTCATGCAGCAGTGTACTGCGACCGGCGCTGCTACCCATGTCACTCAGATGATGGGGAATCTTTGGGGAAACTTCCCCGTGGAGGTTTCACTGAGAACTGCTCTAGCTGATTCCGTGGGCCTTTGCTTGGGTTCCTCAAGAGTTCTTAAAGACCAAGGAATTCAGAGTCCGCTCAATTGGCCAAACATTTAGATCCCCCACCCCAAATCATCCACCCTGAGCAGACCCTGATCGGCACCTGTGGTCGCTTCAACTTAGGCTCCCAGCAAAGAGGGCCGCACAACCTCGGCTGGCCCCTTCCGTCCAAGAGGGGTTCCACGCACTAAAGAAAATGGGAGGGGGCGGTATACACCTTTCCACTTAACAATGAAGCCTGGAAGGGCTGTCTAGTTGTTGCTACAAATACCGATCTGCTGGGTTCCATGTCAGTCTGTGGGACCCTTTGTCACTACTCGCCAGTACAAATCACAACTAAAACAATTTCACCATAGACCCCAGATAGCACACCACGGCTACGAACCATGGCGCAACATCATAATGGTTCCCGCGGCATGATGATGATGTTGACAGCATCTTGATGTTGACAGCATCACGAAAATACCACAGCTACTCAGCATAGCGCTCTACATAGACGAGAAGACAACGTCCTAGTGAGTCCATCAGCAAATCGATGATGTTGACAGGATGATGCTGATACACCAGCCAGGAACGATTCCGCTCTACATATCTAGCAGAAAAAAGGCAGAAACGACGTCCTGATGAGTTCGACGACAGCATCATGATGATGCTCACAGCATCACGGTGATGGCAAAGGCAGCATCCTGATGATACCACAGGCACGAACCATCTTGCAACAGCGTAATGAAATTCAGCATCATCCCGATGTTGACAGCACTATGCCCGCCACCACACCCACGAACCATAACGCGGCATCGCAGCGATTGAGCAGCATCATAACGTGGTTGACAATATCATGATGATACACCAGCCACGAACCAGTACGCGCGACAGCTAGAGCAGCAAACGTCCGAACCGGTTCAACAGCATCATGATGCTGCTGACAGCATCATGATGCTGCGGCCAGCAACCTGAACCGAACAGCACCCAAAACCGTACCTGCGCCAGCACCCCAAAGTGCATGCCCCCTAGCTGTCCCAGCCGTCGATCTTGCAAAACAATTTCCCTTCTTTATTAGAAGTCTATGGCTTCCAGTTATCTGGGAAACAAGCCCTCGCGGGCAGCAGCACCTCCAACAGCAACACAAAACAGCACCTGCACCACCACCCCAAACTGCATGCCCCCTAGCACCCGCCGGCAATCTCCGAAAATTGCGCCCACAACGTCAGCAGCACCCCAAACAGTACCCCAGAACAGCTGCATCAGCTCCCCAAACTGCATGCGGCCATCAATCTTGCTGCGCCTGCACCATCACCAGCACCCCAAACTGAGTGCCCCCCCGCTGTCCATCAGCGCCTTAAACAGCACAGGCACCAGCACCTTAATCAGCACCGCAAACTGCATGCCCCCTAGCACCCAGCCGTCAGTTTCGCAAAGCGGCACCTCGTCAAATCTCGCAAAACAGCACCTCCACCAACACTCCAAACTACACGCCCCCTATCTCGCAAAGCGGCACCTCCACCAGCACCCGAAACTGCACGCCCCCTAGCAACCCGCCGTCAATCTCGCAAAACAGCGCCTCCACCAGCACTCCAAACTAGGTACACCGCCCATAGTAGCCCGTGCAATATCGTGCGTTTTTGGGCTTCGGAGCAACCTGTCGAAGCTGCGATTACAGGGGGGAAAGGAGAGCCCCGTCTGTCCCTCATGAAAAATGCGCCGAGACAGTGGGGAATTTCTTGCGTTCCCGAATCTCACTGGCACGCTGCTTTCAGAAGCTCATTTTTACAGCCCCCAACTATCGTGCGTCAACGATTTTGCCATGTTCAAGACTGCATGTTGCCTGGGAACCGCATGATGAACTCTCTTTTCAATAGCCGACGGGGGGGAGGGGTCCTTAGTCTGTTCTTCACCCAAAATTCCCCCAAAAATCTTTGTCGGTTTTTCGGTTGCAGGCAACACACTGGCATGTTCAAGACCGCATGTTGCCTAGGAACCGCATGATGAACTCTCTTTTCAAAAGCCGACGGCGGGAGGGGTCCTTAGTCTGTTCTTCACCCACAGCGACGAGACGTAAGCCAGACAAGCGACGAGACAAGACCGAACAAGCAGAAGCCACGCCGATGGAAGCAGAGCAAGGGCGCAGCAGATGACGACTCCCAGGATGCACACCAGGTGGACCACAAGAAAGGAACGTAGGCGCCTAAAGCCGAAAAGTCAAGCGGAAACCTGTGTCGGGCATACCATGACAGCAGACACAAAGGACGAGATGGGGTCCGCTGGTTGGCATGCGACGTCCAGAAGAGAGTCCAAGTAAGGCAACCAGACAGTGAAGAAAGGACCCAGCACCGAGTGTGTGGAGAAGCAATGCGAGACGCCAGCCAAACGCAGCAAGACGATGAAGGCAAACGCTAGACGAACGTCTTCTGACCCAAGCTACAGCAAAACAAGACAGCTCAGCACACGAACAGAGAACATCACACACCCCACAGAAACAGGAAATAAAGAAGTTCTTGTCAAGCAAACTCGAAGAAGTGACGGAATCATTCCCCCCCACCCCCCCCCACCCCCCCACCCCACCACACCAAAAAAGCAAGCAAGCACAAAAAACACTGAAAATATGGAGTTCAAACACAAAAAACAACAAAAAATGGAGTTCGTCCCACGGGCGGCTGTGGGCGGTGGTCCAACTACATGCCCCCTAGCACCCGGCCGTCAATCTCGTAAAGCGGCACCTCCACCAGCATCCGAAACTGCATGCCCTCTAGCACCCTGCCGTCAATCTCGCAAAACAGAACCCCACCAGCACCCCAAATTACATGACCCCTAGCACTTGGCCGCCAATCTTGCAAAACAGCACCTCCACCAGCACCCCAAACTGCATGCCCCCTAGCACCCGTCCGTCAATCTCGCAAACAGCACCTCCACCAGCACCCCAAACTACATGACCCCTAGCGCTTGGCCGTCAATCTCGTAGAACAGCACCTCCACCAACACCCCAAACTGCATGCCCCCTAGCACTCGGCCGTCAAGCTCGCAAAACAGCACCTCCACCAGCACCCCAAACTGCATGCCCCCCAACACCCGCCCCTCAATCTCGCAAATCACTTTCCCTTCTTTATTAGAAGTTAGAACCCCTATAGCTTTCAGCTATCTGGGGAAAAATACTTTTTGTGGGATCCTTGGCAATAGTCCGAGGGAAAACCACAAGGCTAACTTCTAACATTCTACGTACCCCAATGGGCGCGTCTATTTTTAGGCGACCTGCCCCACCACCCACCCCAAAAAACAATGTGGTGAGGCGTTTTCCTTTTTGTCCTTGCAACACCCCAAAACCGAGGTACCGAGCCTCGACCAAAAAAAGGACAACTTCGAGGGAGACATGCGGCTGAGGCGTCGGCAGCTGGTTCCGGGCATGCCCGGGCGCTGGCTCCGAAGCTCCGCATCCTGCCATTGGAACGATGCAATCTATGGGTGGGGTGTGGGGGTGTGGGGGGGAGGGGGGTGGGGGGTTCAGGGGTTGGGGGTTTTTGGGTTGGGGGGTTGGGGGGTTGGGGGGGTTGGGGGGTTGGGGGGTGGGGGGTTGGGGGGTTGGGGGGTTGAGGGGTTGAGGGGTTGGGGGGTTGAGGGGTTGGGGGGTTGAGGGGTTGGGGGGTTGGGGGGTTGGGGGGTTGGGGGGTTGGGGGGTGGGGGGGGTGGGGAGTTCGCAAACCTTCCATCAACTTCTAAGATGGCTTGCTACCCCAAATTAGTAGGGGGTTGAGGGAAACAGCTACAATGTTGCCACTCAAGGGGAGCATACCCCATTTTTCGCTGGGGTGGCTTCCCTGTCGGATCCATGACCATTTGATCATGACACGTACATCTACATGACGATGTGAGGAGAAAAATCCAACGAAAAATTGCTCCAAGGAATCCCTCTTCAGACAAATCCCAACAGAAAGGTTGGACAGAAACCCATAATGCATGGAACCCAAAACGATGACCACCAAACCAGGCCCCCGAAAAACCCTAGTACTTTCGTGCAGATATGAGAACAACGGGGAAAGGACTCGGTTGGCTTCCATGTTCATCTGGGGGGGAAAGGGGGCTGGGGAAAAATGAGGGAGCAAATGCGATCCATCACCTTGTCTCTAAGCTGCCTGAGCGGGGAAACATCCGCATTCTGGCCCAATTGGCAACCACCTCAAGAGCCCGGCAGGTTTTATTGCTTCACACTGCGGATGGACGAACTCCTGCACCACCTACGATTTCCTGAAAAGAAGCTGATTCCCCAAAGAAGCCGATTCCCCTGTAAATACCAGCAAAACCACGGTTTTAACCATGGAATTTCACCGTGGTGCGATTTCCGAATTTCGTCCACCCACAGTAGGAAACCATCGACATGAGTTCCGCGGTCAACGGTGCGCACGTCGGCTGCGTCACCCCGCCAGGTCGAGAATGGCCCCGCCCAGCGCGGCGCTCGGCTTGGCCCTGGCCGCCAGGCGCCTGAAGGCGCGGCGGCGGCGGTGGCTGTGGGCTGTTCTTTTTGGTTTGAGCCCGTGGCCTTTTCGTTTCTCCAGCTCAAAGATGGGGAAAGTGGGGAGGGCTCAAAGTAAGACACTTACTCAAGAATTCTGGGCCCAAGAATTTTGTCTTTGAGCCCAAGAATTCTGGAGGATCTGGGGGAGACCCCATCATGCCTAACTTGTTTGAAGGTCCCATGAGGGTATGTGGGAGATGTCCATTCGCGGTAGTGAGGCTACACTTTTAGGAGTGGCTTGAAGAGAAGCCACAAGGAAACCACCAACTTCCTACTTCTCTTTACTAGTTTTACCGTTGGACATGACGATGACTGGTACACCCGCGATCTTTTTGGGTGGCAGCCAGAAGTGAGCCGTTTTGGGGTTCCGTGTTAGTTTGCAGTAGGAACGGAAGGAGGCTCGCCAACACGAACCCCCTTTTGCGACCCAGTTCGGTTGTTGCGCCACCTTGGTGCAAAAGAGGGGCCAATGCATTGCGACAGCCCAAGTGGATGGGACGCAAAGTGGATATTTTGGCGCACTTTGAGTCTATGTTGCACCCATCTTCTTGAGAGTGCCAACTATTGTCCTTTAAAACCACCCCCGAAATGCTCAAAAGACACACCCAGTTGCTGTGTTTTTCTTGATAAACTATTTATATTAAAAACAAACTTTAAGGAGAAGGGACGAAACTGAAGGCCATCGAGAAACCATGTTCCAGGGAGCGATTCGGAATGCCACTTTCATTTGCGCTTTAGAATACAGGTTGGATTTCCCCCTGTTGGTTGTAAAGCGAATCAAGCACTACTGGACATGTTTGCTCGTTTCTCGAAGGGACTTCAGCAACACGTTGTGGGCCAGCAAAAAAAATGAGCTGTGAACTAAAGTAATATGGCCCTAACCAAAAAGATGCATCATGGCTGAGTTTTGGTTGAAACCACCAAGGGCCCAAAGTGGATTCCCGTTGGTTGAACATCTGGACGGGAAGTTTCAAAATCCCATTCAACGCTTCATCTTGGCGATAGGCTACGTGGCCTTCCTTGCTGTACGCTTTGCCCCAGACAGTTTCAGACGTAGTCGAGTCGTCGCTAGCCAATCAGGCCTATCTGGCTATTTTGCAGCACCAAGCCCCAGAAAGACTGAAACCTCGAAGGACCAATTCATCGATTTGGCTGTGGCTCAAACATAGGTACCCAAAATGGGGTGCCCTTCTCAGTGGAAACACTGATTAAAACCTGCGGTCCAACTCCTGGTGGCGTAGCTTTTGACCCATACTAGGTCCTCCAGTAGAGAGGTTAGAACAAGGGTACCATTTTTTTCTGTAGTCCGTTTTAGTAGGGGACCCCTCCCAACCAAAAAAGAAAAACGGTGAGAAAGGGCACCTAGCTGGGGGACCTATCCATTTCAGGGTCCAACCTCTGGCCAGGGCCCCGGCTTCAGCAGCCGCGTGTGCATCTGCCTGGCGCAAAAGTCGCTGGCCGAGGGATCGCCGTCCACCAGCACCAGCAGCGCCGAAGGCTCCTCCGCGATGACGCGGTTTTTTGTTTTTCTTTTTCGGGCGGGTCTTGTAGAGAACCCCCGGGGCGGGAAATGGTGGTCAACTTTTGGTTTCGCGTTGAAGCCAACAAGAAAGGAGTACCCTCAAAGCAAAACACGCACCCATTTGTCACGGGCGTGGTGGACATAGGCGTCCCTGTTTGAGGGTAATAGTCCATTTTGGGGTTGCTTTCAAGGGAAAACCAAAAGCAAACAACCCCGTTGTTGAGGTTCCCCCATTTTACGACCCCGCATCGGAATTGCAGATTCATGTCCACCAACTCCTCAACTTCACCTCGGTTTGCATCGGGGGCCGAACGCCCACTCACAGAAAGTGGCAACCTAAAATTTTACTTGGCTCTGCTGGCTGACAAAGTGGGCGTTATAGGAAGTGGACTCCAAAAGCAATCTTCTTGGACCTTCAAAAAGCAGCCTTTGGCTGATCCTCCACTTCAGGCCCCAAGGGACACTGCAACTTGCATGCCCTCTGCGTCAAGACAAAGACTCCCCCACCTTTCAAACCATTCTCGAAACCCACGCTCCCAACACCAAACAGCCATGCTCACTTGGACACCACACATTTCCAAACCCAACAGCCCCCCCAAAACTCCGTTGCTTTCTGCTCCCCTGCTAAAAGGACGGAAAACCCATTCATTAGTTGGCAAAAAGTTGAAGTCCTAACATCCCTTGGCAACATGCACCTCTGGTTACCTACCACCACCCCCAATTTTGAGCAACTTTCTCGGTTTTCCCCTAGCAAAACACAGCAGCACCCAGCTCGGCTCCTCCAGCGGCGGCTGCTTCAAAGCCACGGCCACCTTCCCCAGGTCGCGGATGAGGACGTGCCGCATGGGCGCCTGGCCACTTTGGAGGTGCCACTTTGCTGCCCGATTTCAGGATCCCCGCGAAAAGTGACCCACTTTTCGTGGGTTAAATGGAAATGCCCAAACACTAAAAGCCTGAAAAGCTAAGGAACCGGATGGCTGGGAACCACCAAGTTTGGAGCTGGCTCTTCATGGCCATCGTCTTTCAGGGGACCCACTGAAATGGTGGGCTTCCTTTTGGTTGCCCTGGCAAAAAGACACCAAAGGAAAAAAAACCAAGGAGCCAAAAATTCGTGGGGGATCCTGGGGAAGCTGTGTTCCCCAATTCGCAAATCGCAACCCCGTTGGAATGAATACTTCTTAAAGAGGCCTTCTGGTGGGTTCCATGTTGGTGCTGGGAGCGCACCCTGAAACGGAGTATGAAACCCTTTGCGGTTAAACAGCATGTGTGGAATTCACACATACAAGACGCGAAACAAATTGTTTCTCCTGGGGACAGCCAATTGGCGGTGGGATTCTTAGATTCATGGGCAGCTGGAGAGCTCTCGAACAAACGGGGCAGCGATGCCAATCTCAACCCTAGCGCAAATGACCCAGAGAGTGGGCTCGTCACTCTTGGATTGTTTTGCGCCAACATTGGACCACGCTAATCAATCCACGATTCCCATTGCGTGATCTGATTATTTTATTTATTTATTTATTTCGAAGCAAAGGTCGATTGTGTCGGGTGCAGAACCGCATTTTCCCCATCTTGGAGATGAGAAGCTTCGGCGGGGCAATGTTTACGGGGGAAGCATAGGGATCCCGTTGCACGACCACTGAAACGTCACAAAGCGTCAATGTCCAACTCACTTCCTTTGGCCAAGAAAGTTCCTTCTGCCTGTCGCTTCCCAAAACCGGTATCAGTGTCTGGCACTCGTTCAGTCAGAATACGTTGGCCCAAACGATGACCGCAACCACTGAAGGTTGTGCTTGAAGAGGTTTCACGCGTCTAGTCCCAAAAGCTGAAACAGGATAGATTCAATCGTTCACCCTACAGAAGGCTCCATAAGAACCCGGGTGTCTTTTGGTCAAATAGATGGCCCTGGTAAATGGAATAAAACTCATCTAAGCCAGTGCAATCTATTTCTAACCACCTATAAAATTCACTTCCTTCCGAGCTTCTCCCTCGGCCTTGAGTTACTCCCTTACCCTCCCTGCTAACATGGAAGCCACAGGCATTGTCCCCCCAATTCCAGGTGCCACGATGGGAACCCAGGAGCAATACAAGGGCGTCCCAGTGAAGGGGGGGGGGAAGCACCCCCCCAATTAATCCAGCTTGATAAATTTGAGGTTGCTATTAGCCAGTGGGAGGGTACCCTTCCTCCTGCAAACAGAGCATCGGTGAGATTTTACCTGGAGGGCACCCCAGCCAGGTTCCACACAAGAACGGGAAAGCGTTTTGGGCGTGTCTTTTTTCGATGGTCCCCGTTTTGGGCTTATTTTGAAGGAACAGTCAAAGTGAAATCACCATGGTCTATTTCTTGGTTGCTGTTGACCCCCTCAAAAGTGCTTAACTTTTCGTGGGTCCAAGTCGGAAAATCCACAAAGTTTCAACCAAAAAAGCTAAAGTCCAAATCGATCCGTTTACCAAATAGCCGTGGCATATTTTGAGACACCCCATTTGTTGCCCGGCCGATCAACCAGTCGCCTTCACCTTGCTGTTGGCTTCCAGCGTGCAGAAGGCATCCACGACCAGTGGAAGAGCCATGGCGACCGCTGAACTTCGGTCTCTTTTTCCGGGCTCTTCGGTCTGGGCACCAGGGTGTTTTTCCATAGGAAGATCCCCGTTTCGCGGGTGGATGGTTGCTTCCGAAACAGGGGGTGTAACCCAAGTCATCAAAAAGCACTCCCTAGGCTCCTTTGAAAGGGGGTAAGTCGGGATTTTAGCATTTTGAGGTTGCACACATGGCGTCTAAGTAGCGACTTCGGCTTTCCAAAATTATTGTTCTTTGTGAGAGTCGGCCATAAGAAGCAACCAATGTTCGTTCACTGGCGTTATATGGGCGTCCTTCAAAATGACCCCAAAGAGGGTACTACTCCGACCGCTGGGTGCTTAATCGGTTGTTTGAGGTGATCTCCCCAGATGTTCTTGGAAGCGGGGACTCGAGCCCCCAAGACCTTCGCAATCAGTGCTTCCCGGTTCCCGCTGGCAAGTGATCAAACCAGAAAACGCGTGCTTTTTGCTCGTTCGGGGAGGGGGGGGTGTTGCAAACACAGGGGTCCTTGTCTATAGTTCCGACCCATAAACATCTCCAACGACAAAACGAAGGCTCACTCAAAACGGCCTTTCCAAAAGATGACACTTAAACCCACCACTGTGGGAGGAAATGTGCGTGAGCGCTTGAAATGGGGGACCCCTCAAAAAGGCCAAGTTGCCTGCGTGTCTTCTCGCCGGATCTCATGGCTTCTTGAGTGGGAGTTGGATGTCCAAAACGTCAGGTTGGGACTGCTTGCTCGTCCCCCCAATTTCATCTTTTAGGAGGTGTGATCCCACATTTGCTTTAGGATGTTGACAGGGTGGTGTGTTTGTCACCTTTCTTGGCACGCATCGAAGAGGAGACCTACACTTCTAGAGGGCAGACATTGGTCAATTCCAAAGAAGTTGAGATTGGGACTATTCTGGCGAGGGACCCTGAGTGAATCCTTGGGCCATTGATGATGGCAAGATACAGCTGGACAGATGCCAAAATGTGAGTGCCCTTGAATGGTTGCGTTGAAGGGAAACAAACCGGCCAAACAATACAGCACCATGTTGGGATCCTGATTTCCACACAGACAGATGTTAAAGGTCAGCTTCCCTCCAATTGGTGGTTCGGATTGGTGGTTTGGTGGGTAAAGGTGGTGTCCCATTTAGCATCTACAAGAACCAGAAATTCAAGTCCAAATCCAGTTCCGACCAATCCAAACCACTTGAGGAGAACCTGACATGAGGTCCTTCATTTGAGTCCTCAAAACCTGGCGTTAAAATGGTCTGCCCAATCTAAAGAACACAAAGGTGGACATCTGTACCAAATTCTGGTCGGGACTGTCCCTTAACCTTCGCTTACAGCACCTGGGTTTCGATTTGTGGCTCATCTTGCTGCTGCTCAGTAAGGAATGACCCAGGGTGTTGGGAATGAACCCAGGGATTCCCTTATAAAAAACCACCAGGGATTGTTTACAGGGGTCATTCGCCCATTCCCTGCTGAGAACCAGCAAGAAAGACATTTGAGAAAGCCGTTGGTCATTCAGAATCCTCTGATCCGCCCTCAAGGGGGAAGGCACCGGGCTCGCTTCAGACCTAGGCCGGAAATCGGAGGGGTTCGGAGATCCCAAGGAAGATGCCAAAAAAGGCAAACTCGCTTCCGAACAAGTGGATTGGCCAGACAAAAATGCAAAGAACAAAAAACAAACATGTTTGCCACGAAAATCGCAACCAACCCCACAAAGTGACGATCAAGTCCGAAACGGAACTTATGGAGTTAGAAACAAAAACCTGATGCCCCTCCATGGAAGCGGACGATCGGAGGCTTTGTGAAGACGACCTTCCTTAGGTCCCGAAGGAAGCCCGAGGCAAGAGGATGATCGGCTGAAAGAAAGATGCGCCGGGACTAGTGCTGCCAATGGTCTCTATGCTCCGTGAGTAGCCAACCCCAAGTAGGCCTTTTGACCAACGCACATATGAGTCATAAGCAAAACCCGGTACTAAAATGGTCGACCCAGAACAATGTAAAGAATTAAGAAGGCGGATATCCGTAGCTATTTATGGTTGGGATTGTCCCTTACTAACCTTCATTTACCCAGGTTTTGATTGTGACTGATATGGATTCTGGCTCAACCGATTCACGACTGAGCGGGTCTTCCATGAACCACAAGCCAAAGCCAACAGGGCCCGAGTAATTTCACGCCTGTCCTACTGCGGACGGAATCCTGCACCTCCTAAGAAGCCACGTAATTGTACTTCAACCCATGACTCGCAACCGTCCACCGTATGAGGTACAAATTGGTTGAAACTAGTTCGCCCAAACGCTGTTGGAAATCTCCAACTTGCGAGCAAATCCAAGGGGTTCGGCTCTAAAACCCGATGAGACAGGGAAACATTAAGAGAGAGTCCCCCAACATTTAGAGAATCCCCCATGTCCCTGAACCATTCGACCAGTGGAAACTTGAGCATGTGTCACAAAAAGGGATTGGGACCCCAAAAATATGGTGGTCTTCCTGCTGGTTTCCCTTCAAACCAACCCCGAACACCCTCAACAAAAAGACGAGGCAGCCCTCGTAACGAGTCCGAAGCCGCCTCCGTTGCCGTTGGGCTGCGCATAGCGCTTGCGGCCTGCGGGCTACGTGGGCACCAGTTACGTGCCAAGCGCCCGGAGTTTTCGGGAATCCCCACCAGGCGTTTCCAAAACCTGCCAAGTGGAAACCCATGTTGGGGGCCCCCTATTTTCTGGGCGGCCTGTTTTCAGCTCCCCCACTCAAAGTGACCCACTTTTAGTGGGTGAAATGGAAACTACCACTAAACACTAAAAAGCTAAAAGGCTAAGGGGATGGCTGCGAGCCACCAAGCAACCAGGCGCTGCCAAAACCCGCCTTCGTGGGAAACCAAGAGGAAACCCATGATTTTGGGGGTTCCCTATTTTGACACAACCTCGGTTCGATGCACGATCCCCGTGGCGGGTGCAATCAATTCATTGACACATTTAGGTGCATGTTTGAGGGTACCTGTTCTTTGTGGCTTTAAAGGAAAACCAAAAAAACACATTTGACACCCACCGCGAAAGCCCTAAGGGTAGACTCTCAAGGCAGGCCTTAGAGCATGTTTCTGTCAACCTGGCAGTTGGTTGGTGGGGTTGTGTTTGTTGCTTCTTCCAACAACCCTACTTAAACCTCAAAACACCCCCACGATTGCTGCTGAACAAGCCTTCTCCAAGGCAAATCAAATTCCTAACGACAAAGAATTTTTGAACACCAAGAACATTAAGCCTGAATGGCTGGGGGTGTTTTACCCTAAAGGCCCCTGACGGCCTTTGAAACTTTATAGCCCATGCCCATGCAACAAACAGGAAGTCTCATTCTCCTATCCCGTATTTTGAGACAAACCCCTATGAACCTCTGGCACCCTAGCAGCTCAACTATGGGAAGACAGCCCCAACAGGCCCAACATGGCCATGCACCAGGCCCAACATGGCCATGCAAGAATCAATCCCTCCCAACCCCAAGACCCCAAGTACAAAGGTCTTTTGACCATGGCACAAATACAGCAAAGCCCACTCCCTCCGCCTCCGTACGCGCCGGCATGCGAAGCATTCCCGCCGTAGCCGCCGGTATTCCCTCCGGCATTCCCGCCGCTGTTCCAGTTCTGGAAGAACTGCCTGGCATGTGAAGCTGCCTCAACTCCGCTTCCCTCTAAGTGGTTTGCCAGAACCAAGGGTTCAATTCCCCAGCCACCAACCTAGACAACCTCCTTCCCGGGTACCAAATCGGATCTCCTGGAGGTACCCGCAAGGCACAGCTCTCCGTAGAAAAACAACATTTGTTTTTGTCCCATGCACTTTACACCAAAAACCAGCAACGGTGGCTGAAAAAAGCAGCAACTTGGCTATCTAGGATGTTAGATCCAGCCCCTCCACCCACCCCAACTTGGCTGGCCCAGTTCACCCTGCACCGTCAGTCTTTGCAAACCAAAAGCTTCGCGACCGGCAACAACCCGCACGGCCGGGTAAAGTGTCCCATCCACCCGGCTCCCCGCGCCTCACCGCCTCCGGGAGGAACTCCCAGTCCCTTGGGGGCCGGCCGATGCTCTGCGTCAGCACCTCGGCGCAAGGAGATTTCCGCGTGGGAATTTCCGATGGGCACCGAGGAGTCTCCTTCTGGGAGAGGAGTGGATCGATATGATTGGACTGTGCTAGCTCCTCCAGATTTGTAAGTTGGTACCCGATATTTTCCTGAATCGTCTGTTTCAGTAGGGGAACCCTTTGTAACCAAAAAAGAGGGGGAAAAAAGGCACTACTGGGGGACCTAGTATTGGACTCTGTCTCTGGGCGCGGCTTTGGGCCACACTTCATCGTGGTGAGTTCCAAGGCGGTGAGAAAAAGCGGGCGCTGGGGACTCTCGGAGCAACGGGCCTCCCATGTTTGAAGACCCACTCCAAGCCTCCAAGCTCCCCTTCCCCTTCCCCAACGCTTGAGACGCCCCACTCCCAATTTGTGGCTGATGTGAGTGCTTAAAGTCTGGCTGACCCAACCGGAGCCCAAAAGAAATGGCTCCACCCCGGTGAAGACGCCCGGACGAAATTGGATGAACTTCCTAAAATGTTGGGAGCCAAAAAGTATTCAAACAAATCAAATGTTCCATGTGTTTGGGAGTGGGTGCGCATATCCAATCAGCACGCACACCAGGGTCTCCAGTGTTCTCGACTTGTGGGCAAAATCGGGCGGTCTCCCACGGCTGTGTTTTTTCTTGGCACTGCGCCATGTCCGCAAAAAATAGGCTACTTAGAGGTAACAGGTTTTTCCACAAATAGCTCTTTATGGGTCACGGTGGGACTTGTTGCAGTCCCCATGAAGAATCAAGGAGAGCTTTCAAGGGGAAAGGAGGAAGTGCAAGTTGATGATTCTAGTTACAACTACCCCACTTTTTGGAAGAAATAAATGGCCAAATTCGCAGGTTTACCTTTGTTTCTCCTTTCACTGCACTCGAAACAGGTGTTCTCTATTTCAAGAAACGCTCAGGCCGCTGCCGCAGGCACGCAGGAGAACGGGTGCTCCTGCGATCAAAAACGGCCCCGGCCGCCCGTGGCTGTGCCTTGGATCGAGCTCAAAATCGGCGGACCTTCAAAATTGGTGGTTTTCCTCAGGGGTTCAGGGGTGGTGGGGGTGGTGGGGGTGATGGGTGGTTGGTTTCCATTTAAACCCGCCCCAAAAAATGCACCAGCTCCAAACAAGACGGGCCCATTTCTGACCGCGACTGTCCATCCTCAACTTCCATCTCGGCTTTGGGTCGCAGGCCCTTGCACCCCTGGGTGCTGGTTGCGGTGCAGCAGGTTACAGGGGTACCTTCCCCATTCTCTCCAGGACCAAAAAACACCCAAAACCCTGGGGAAGCAGCTGGTTCTTGAAACGAACGATGGTTGAAAAGAATGGAAAAGGAATCCAGCCCTAGAAAGGCACCGCAAATGCAACGAAACCAACTCGTCCAAGTCAGCCCGGGATGTGACGCGGTGTGCCGTCGGACGCTGGGCGTTTTGCTCAAGGAGGCCTAGCTCCATTCAGCCGGGAGGTTTCGGCAGGCACTCCGTGCCGCCGGCTCGAGAGAGATTGCCTCCTTGCCCAATAGGGGGGCCTGCAAAGGGACGATCTAGTTCCGAGTCCCCAACTGGGCAATTGGTTTCCAAAAAGGAAAACCTCAATTCAAACCAATCCAACAAACAAGGCCAATTTAGGCCACCCCCCTCCCCAAAGAGAGCAGCGAGAAAATACCCACAGCAGCTCCTCACCGAAAGGCGCCAGGAGCTCTTGAAAGAGCATGACCTGGCGCGAATGAAAGACCAAGAAACGAGGCTCGCGGAAGTCGTGGGCCAAGCTTCTACCCTTTATGGGGAGTCTGTATCTCACTGACGTGTGGGATGAAATGCCTGGAAAAGCCCCACAGAGCTCAGCTCAGCTCAGGGTTGTTCAAAGGAGTGGCTAGAGGGGACATCAACAAGCAGGCCATGATGTCCATGTTCCCTGGAGCTTTGCTTGTCCTGGGCGCAGGTTATGAACCCCCCAAAGACCCCGAGGCTTTCTCGAGCCTTTTCGACAAGACCGGTCGGCAGCGCCAGGCTGTCCTCGTTCAGGAGGTTGCCCTGACCGAAACCAGCGGTTCCGCGCTTCCGCCAAGCGGCGGTAAAAACGGAAAACCGTAAAAACGGATTGGCCGCAGCCCCGAAACCGGGGCAAAAAATGCGCGTCATTCCTTGTGAAAGCACCAAATGCGGCCAACCCCCCACAAAAAAACAAACCCTCAAACAGCCCGAAAAAAGCCACTCGCTCCTTTTTTCCCCGTTTCTTTTCAACCCCCCAAACTAAGTCAACCCCCCCCCCCTCCTCCACCCGTCATTCTCCCCACCCGCGGCGTCATCGCGAAGTCATCGCCGGCCTGCTCCACCGCTTGCCAGGCCTTGCCGACCATCGTCTCGATCCAGGTCCTCGGCGCCGACGCCCCGACCAACTCCCTACTGGACGAAATCCATTTCGCACCACCTAAGAAACCCTGGAATGATGATTCCACGGTAAATACCAACCATGGTGTGTCCAATACTTTCAAAGTGGTGCGAACGGATTTCGTCCATCCTCAGTATCCCCAAACCGACGAATCCTTGCATAAGTGCATAAGGCCAACTTGGAGGGGCTCGCTGCCCCCATGAAATGGATTCAGCGGCCCGAAGCCACTAAAGCCGGTTGAGGCCTACCACGGCGAAAAAGGCCATGAGCCATGGACACGTCTGGGGGGGGGGGGGGGTGGGTTGGACTCTTGTCCGGAACAGTCCAACACACGGGGGGGGGGGGGTCCGGGACAAAACTGGGGCTCCAATTCGGGGGCTCGTTTCCTGGGGTCCATTCCCAAACACTCCCTCCAATCATGTGTTGGAATGTATTGCCTGCGCTGTGCTCAGATCTGCTACAAGTCGAACTTGTGCGTTAAAATGGATCCAAACCACACACAAAACCAACTAAAAACGTCGAACAACCTGACGAACTGCACGGATTCTGTCTTTCTTTGTGTGGTACTCCTTCTTTGGTGGTTCATTAGAGAAAACCAAAAGGAACAACCATTTTGGGGTCCCCTAAAGAAAGACACACCACATGGATTGTGTGGGATGCTCTCCACTCAAAACCTTCCCGAGACAGCTCGCACGGTTTTCTCGGCCTCAGAAAAAGCTCCACCCGGCCCACGTCGTCCATCCTGGCAAAGGCTGGACACGTGTTCTAGTGGGGCAACCGGGAAACACCGTTCGTGTGCAATGTGTGTTTCGTCTTTGAATACAAACCCATCCAACATACAGGTAAGGTAGATCCACCCCCTGGGCCATCTTGTACCAGGCTCGAAGTCAACCGAGTGGTAGCTTAAAGGGAAAGCAGGAAAAGAACCCCCCACCCATTTTTCGACTTTGATGACCCCGAGTCAAAATCTGGGTTGCTGTTGAACCCTCTGCACAAAAAGCACATGATTTTTGTGGGTCGAATTCGGTAAATCCGCTGTATCTTGGTTGCTGTTGAACCCTCTGCACACAAATTATGTTTCGTGGGTTCAATGGTAAATCCGCTGTTTCCCATGTTAAAGTCCACTAAAAAACAATTCGCCGCAGCCAGCGCCCCCCAGACAACATGCCGGCAGCTCGGAGAACTCATGGCTGCGTCGTAGGCGGCCTGGTGCCCGCTCTTCAGCGCCTGACTCTACTCGACGCGATCGGATCGAGTCGAGTGGTTTGGGGTTCCGATCCCGGTGTGAGGCATGATCAAAGCTGATACCCTCCCACCAGCTAACATGGAAGAAGTGCACAGACCCCTGTAGAAAGACGACTTTCCTCTTGGAAAGGGCCGGCCTTTGCACTTCCATGTTAGCTGGTGGGAGGGTAATAGAATTGTCTACCCAAAACCATGCAAAGAATATTAAGAGGGCGGCCGCACCTATTTATTGTTTTTTGTTTGTCCCTTGCCAACCTTCATCCACCCGAGTTTTGATTGTGGACCTGTGAAAACCCCAACCGTTGGAGTAATGTTGACCCCGGATTAATAAACGCAGTCCCTTTAAGGGGGCGGGGGGGAATCCTCCCTCCACGAGTGATGATTCCCCGCTAAATGCAGGGATACCCCCCCTGGGGCTGATGAATCTGGGGTCAACATTCTGCGAGATATTTACCCGCAAAGCACCCTCCAAAGAAATAAATCAAATGCTGGTATGTAGCTGCCTGCTTTTTGTGTGGGAACCTGGCGCCACGCATTCTAAGACTTTCAGTCACAGAAGTGGTTGGTGGACATTCACCCGAACCTAAATGGCCCTGGGTCAAAATCCAAGTCGTACCCAGTGAACATCCCAATCCCCACTAAAATAGACCAAAGTGGGTGGTGCGCCTACCCCAAAATGGTACCATTGGTTTTGACCCACAGCCAAATGATGTCCACCGGAGGGTCCCCAGTTGAAATTCACACCCACATTCTAAATAGGTTATAGCCAGAAGTCAGCCAACTCCTGTCATCTCGCTTATAACAACGGTGTTCAAACCACTTGCGCAAATAGGTTGAACATCGACGCATATGGGCCGGAGTGGCCCATTCGTCAAAAGTCCAAATACGATCTTCCCCCTGGGCAAAGAAAGGGCTTTTCTAAATGGGCATGTGTCAAAATAGGGGACCCCCCCCAAAAAAAGAGACAACAGCACCGGTTTCCTTGTGGCTTCTGGATAAAAGCTCGGTTGCGACCGAGACTCGACAAGTAAGGACCCCAAATCAAAAAAAACAGCTGTGGAAAAAAATGCCGCCGTCCCTTTCAGCTGCACCATTTCGATCCGCTCCTTGTAGACCTTGTTCCGCAAGGACCTCACTACATCGGATCCGACGGCCCCCGTTTCCTTTGCTTCCAACAGTCCGGTTTGTCGTCTGCTCATTTGTAAATTTGGGCGTCATGGTTTTAGGCTCGGTGCCCTAAAAAACGACACCGTATGATTTAGAGACATGGCAAGAGGGAGATATTGCAGCCTAAGTCACTATTGGCAACTATTAGGACTGATCGGTACATAGAAAAAGCCGCAAACGGGCCGTGAAAATGTCCTGGTAGGGTACGTTCGTGAGACAGTAAGACCTCCACCTTGACATCAGTGCTACGGACCAATGTCCTTGGCACGTAGATTCAATGCCACCCTGAAAAGGATGGCGAAGGGTTTCTTACCCCTGTTTCACCACGACGAACGCCAGGTGTTCAGATCTGAGTTCAGGTGGAGTGGATACCAAGCATTCTCAGCTCATGCGACAGGCACTTTCCGGGCAAGGGTACCTGGAAGTCGGAAGCCTGCGGTTTCCCCTCCATTTTTGGTACAAATGCGGATCACGTTTGGGTGAGTTGCGCCGGTGGGTCCTTTGAAATTCGCCTCGGCCCCAAAGGGGCCAAGGGCGCTCAGATCTCTTCCAGCCCACCCAGCCTCAGGCCCAAGCTTGTCTGAAACAGGCCTACCCCAAGTCATCCAGCAAGCCCAGCCCAGCGCCCAGCCCAGGCCCGGCGCATCTCTAGGCCGGCCCCAAGGTCAGGTTGAGACTGGCCTCAGGCCAACGACCAGTCTCACGTGTCTGAAACTGGTCTCAAGCTATGCCAGCCACCAAGCCCGTCTGACGTGCCCCAGCCCCTCAGTCCGGCTGCCCAAGCAACTCAGCCCAGGCTGGCCAGGCCTTGACCTCCTGCTCGCGTCTGGCCCCAAGTCATCCAGCAGGCCCAGCCCCGTCTCAAAGTATGCCAGCCTGAGGCTGGCCTCAGGCCCAGTCCCTGGCGTGTCTTACGTGTCTGCGACTGGCCCCAGGCCCAGCCCAGCCAACTCGCCACCCAGCCTCAGGCCCAAGTGTGTATGAAACAGGCCTTGCCCATCCAGCAACCCGCCCAAGCACAGCTCAGCCCAGCCCGCCCAGCCCAAGTTCCAGGAGCCTGGTCCGGCTGCCCGGCAGCCAGCAACCCGCCCATGGCTTCGCAGCCTCGTGGCTGAGACTAGCTTCAGGCCCAGCCCAAAGCCTGCCCAGCCCAGGCCCCAGCGCATCTCAGGGCATGCCAGCCACTACCGGCCCCCAGCTTTCAGCCGACCAGCAGGCTCAGCCCAGAGACTGGTCTCAAGCTATGCCAGCTACTCAGCAGCCCAGGCTGACCAGGCCCCTTTGGTGCAGTCTGAGACTGGTCTCAAGGTATGCCAGCCTGAGACTAGCCTCAGGCCCAGTCCCTCAGCCCGCCTGCTGGCGTGTCTTACGTGTCTGCGACTGGCCTCAGGCCCAGCCTAGCCAGCAACTCGCTACCCCATCCAGCGACCCGCCCAAACACAGCTCAGCCCAGCCAGCCGAAGTTCCAGGCGCAACCAACACCATAATCCAGCTGCCCAGCACCACCCATGGCTTCGCAGCCTCGTGGCTGAGACTAGCTTCAGGCCCAGCCCAACCAGCAACCCGCCTAAGCCAACCCCACCCAAGCCCACCCGGTTTGAGACTCGCAGGCCTCAGCCTATCTAGCGCCGAGACTGGGCCTCGCCAGCCTGGGCTCAACTAGCGTCTAGCCCAGCCCAGTCCGCCTGCAGGCCTGTCTGACGTGTCTGAAACTGGCCTCAGGCCCAGCCCAGCCATAGCCCAGCCCCCTCAGTGCGGCTGCCCAGCCCGCCGTAAACTAGCTTCAGCTCAACCAACAACCCACGCAAGCAAGGTCCAGCCAAGCTGCCCGAGACTAGCTTCAGGCCCAGCGCAGGCTTATCTGATGTGTCTGAGACTAGCCTGTGGCCCAGCCCAACCAGGCGAGGCCGGCTTGTCTGACTTGTCTGACCTTCCCAACACTGGATTTCGGTGTTCCTGACCCTTCCCTCAAACTAGGCTGGGCCCGAGGCGGGCAACGCGAAGCGTTTACAATTCCTTCGGATGTTGATTGGGTGAAAGTCATCCCCTTGCCCTCATTTGCCGCACATTGCTCCATCTACTTTCACCGGTCCTGTTGCCCTCAGTTGACAAAGAAATCAAAGGTTTGCCTTTCTGCGGCCACTCAAAATCTGTGTCTCTCTTTTTTCGAGGCCAAGAAGAACTCCTTCTTGAGCTTGGTGTAGAGGCCCGGGGAGAGACACCACTATGACAAAAAAAAAATGGGGGGGGGGGGAGGTAATTAACCTTTTGTTGGCAGCCCCCTGTTTTAGGTGGGTTCTTCAAAGGGGGGGGGAGCCGAGCCCCCCCAACAAAAAAAAAGACGGCCGACCCCCCCCCCAGCTGCCGAGAAATCTCGACTCGCGCCCCGGGGCCCCGGGGCCCGGGCTCCTGGTCCAAAGCGCAGGTCTCGGTGGCTTCCCACATGGCCTCGGGTTTTGATCGGAAGGCGGATGGCTTCGCGAAGTCCCTGCGGCTCAAAGAACCGGTACGAACCGGTACAAATGGGTTGCCCTCCTAAAAGGTGGAAACATGGACCAAAACCTGCCGTATGCCCCTCCTGTTGAAAATATTGAGCCACAGCCGTTTATTTCGCACGCTGAAACCGTGGTTGAAACCACTGTTGGTTGGTATAAACAGGGGAAGATGGGATACCGATACTGCGGATGGTTGCGGGTCATCCGTTCAAGACCGAAACACGAAATGAGCTATCATGGGAATGAACAACCATAAGGTTGGCTAGCATTTACTGGGAGAATCAGCATTCCGGGGGTTCTTGGGTGGTGCGAAATGGCATTTCGTCCATGCACAGCAGGGAATGAGACATGGAATGAACCGTTTCAGGGAATCCCAAAGAAAGGAAACCGGTTGGAGGGAATTGGAATGAGCCGGTTTTGGTGAATTCCCGACAACTCTGAAACCAGTTGCAGGGTTTTTCTTGGGGTCATTCTATTTCTCATTCCCTGCTGAGCACCCGCAAGCTTGGTGGGATGATTTTCCTCTTTGCAGTATTTACCCACATGTACGCTGCAAACGGGATACATGCTGCCTGCATGGAGTGTGCGGGATTGATGGGTGTCCTCTTCAAAACTCCCGAGCACTCCATGTATGCGAAATATTCATTTACCCACAAAGACACCCTCCAAATGGGGCTAATGGCTGAATGTTGGTATGTATTGCCTGCATGGATTGTGTGGGATTGATGGGTCTGCTCTCCTGTATGGATGGGTCTCCTCTGAACGAAAGCATGTTGCTTATTTGTTGTCAAGCTCCATGGTTTATCTAAGAAGCCTTAATATCACATATTCTGACTGAATCTAAGGGACTTGTTTCACAACCACAGTTCAATAAAAGTAAAGTACTACACTCAGCGTGCATCGAACTGCCATGCCTGAATATCTCAACTCTTTCATCCCCATCCCCCCACAACCCTGGACAACATCCCATAGCCACTCAGAAAAAGATGCAAACACCCTAGTAGACCGCACGTGGGGGTTGATAAACATTCCTGGCCCATGCAGTGGCAAATATCATCTTGTTGGTGGCTTTCCCCAATGGTCATCCAATGTGTACCGGACCTTTTGATCAACTCTCACGTGAACCAATTGCACAAGGTGTCAAAAGGCACTGCGTTGATCCATGCCACGCCTTGTCCAGGAGACAGGCGTCCATCAACTCCTCGTACCTCTGACCCGCTTGACTGCCCCTTCCCCCCCCCCCCCCCCGCCCCGCCCGGTTTGGCACATACAGCACAACGTGTGTGTCTGTGTGTGTGTGTCTTTTTGGGGAGGGAACCGGCCCCCTTTGGTTGAAAGGAAGCCAAAAGGAAAACGGACGATGCGTGTTGTGCCCTCACGTTGAAGCAAACTCGGCAACGTGATGCGAGCTTTCCTTCTGAAGGAAGCCCATGCTCAAACTGAGCTAGATGTCCCAAGGACTGAAGACCTGATTAAGCTACCAAAGGACCTTTCTGAAAATAAACCCTCAAACTTAAGGTGTCTGGGTTCTCCCTTCCAGGAACCAAAAACTGCTTTGGAGGGATGAGATTCAAGAAATGGGAAGGTCGCAAAAACTGGCCCAAGCCTCTCTCTCAGGTCCGAAGCTCCTGGGTTCCACTTTTTGACAACCCCAACCCAGGGCTCGAATTTCCCAAAAGGGAAACCCTTGAATTTAAGTCTAGGGGAGTCAAAAAACGGAACCTCCCACTCCCCCTCCCGAAATATGTGTGCGCCCAGCGTTGGATGGGGCACTTGCCGTTGAGCACGGCCTCCACCTCGTTCCAGGCCGCGCCTGAGCACGGACACAAGCAAACACATGGCCATGGGTCAAAAGCCTGTACCCCCACAATCCCCAATGAAATAGACTAAAATGGGTGGCGCACCTACCCCAAAATGGTACCAATGGTTTTGACCCACAGCCACATCTTTGCTGTATGTTCTATACTTCTAACGAAAAGATCTAAACACCTGTCTGGAACCGGATGGCTTTTGGAGCCACTGAAAGCCAAAGCCTGGAGCCAAATTTCCCCCCCAACATGGAAGCGCGGACCCCGTTAAACGACTTGGTTTCAAGTCCCCCTTTCGCCGGGTGTTCCCCCCTTTTAACTTCGAAACCCAACCTTTCACCCAGTTTACAGATCTCAACACCCCTTTCTGGATCTCCTCCAGGCCCCCCCCCTTCTGAAGCCTGGCGCCCGTGGCGTCCTTCAACGTGGGGCTCCGGGCGCTGACCGCTGCCCTGGAGGATCTCCCAAAAGGCGTGGCCGAAGGCGCTGGCCAGGTCCAGGTCGAAGAACCTAACCCCGAAGCGTTCGCTGCCGCAACGCGCGGGAAGCGAGATGAGCGAGCTTCACCGGGAGAAAAAGGCCCATGGTTCCAGTGGGCAAAGGGTGGGGGCGGGGGATCGCGTTTTTTTGGTTGGTTTCAAGCCGATTTTTGTTGAATCCCTTTTGTGGCTTTGGTTGCAAACACATTTGTCCTTGATAAATAAAACATGGATAGGCTAGGGCAGGGTCGGGGGGAACTCTCTTTCCAGCGGATAATTGTTCATTGGCAAGTCCCTTCTCAGTCTTCAAGCTCGTCGATAATCACAATCTCAGGCTACACCCTTTGGATAATTCTCTTTTCTGGCACCCAATTCAATTGTGATCAGTGGAATATGGGCAGGGTACCCTCTCACCAATTCAGATGGAACCTGACCTGACAGCGGGGTCCTGGTTTGGACAATTTTCCTGTCAAAGGGACCCCCAAACGTCAGGTTCCATGTTCATTGGTGGGAGGGTGCCTCACAATTGAATTGGGTGCAACAAAAGAGAATTGGAAACGATTTACCCAGAAATTCTGAGTTGAATTGGTTCACCCAAAAGCTAGAAGACTGGAAAGGGGTTTGCCAGTTGAGTTCTCCACTGGCTCTATGGATATATGTTTTTGCTTGCGGGGGATGGTTCAACAGGCAATTTGCAGGGAAATCAGCACTTGCGGGCGCCTCATTCAAAACCAAACCCAATTCACCCTGCGCCAACTCAAGGAAATTCCTTGGGACCTGACCTGACCTGACAGCCATGTACAAAGGGCCTACTGCTCACTCCCGCAGAATGCCCTGCAAAATGACCACTGCGTTGACCTCCGGAGTCTCACTGAAAGCCCTGGCGTTGCTGGACATCTCGCTGTCTCAACGCCCAGCCCCTTCCAGGCGATACGGACATGTCCCTGGCCGTGTTGCGCCATAGACTCTATGCCATAGACCATGAAAGCGGGCAAGGGTGCAACTGTCTCATGGGCGTCCCCAATTCAAATACACCTATGGGGGTCTAGGATTGCATCTAAAAAACAAAAAACAAAACACCACACAATGTCGCAACATGACGCAAGGCGGCTCTATATTATTCTTATGTGCTGTTATTACGGTCATAGTTCAGTTTGAAAGAAACCAATTCTCATGTTGGTCGTTTAGCTCAAGTAAGAAGCTCCTCTGGTGCATTTTGTTTGCAGGAGCCATGGTGGACCATCCCCATGTGTGACGGGCATCCCGCATGAACCCCAAAGAAGTAAGAGATCCTGGCGATGGTTTGTTTTGCTCAAACGACTGAGAATCATCCACATCCGCACGAAGTACGTACTCAAATGCACCAACTAACGGATCCTTCGGACCCCCCCCCCCCCCCCCCCGGCGGATTTCCCCCAAAAATAAACCTGGACAAGTTTGCTCAAAGAGTCTTATGAACATTCACGAGCCAGAGAAATGAACCCCCCCGACGTGTAGGCGCCCGACCAAGGTTTGTCCGCGCAGGCATTGCTGAAGCCTGCGGCAACATGGATTGCAATGGCTCAACACATGGGCCTGGAGACATCAAAGCATGACCCATATCCATGTTCTATGAGCTATATTCTAAAGGTACATCCATTTTTTGTGTAAATCCAGGTAACAAAAAGCCAGGTTTCTCATCAACACTCGTTCGTATCCTTCGGGGATAGTGATCCTGGACAAGGTAAAACTCACCGATGTGTTTATCCAGAATTGCAGGTATCCCCTGTGGTATCCTGTCGGGAAAAGAAAGGGCCGTCAAAAAGGTTGCTGCTTCGGTCCATTCGTGGCATCCTTCAAAAGGCGTTGTATCCGTATCTCCCCCAATCTCCTCTAGAGCAAATTCAAAAATGGCTTATAGCACCAATAGCTGGGGCCACCTCCAAAAGTGGCTGCCAAGTTTGGCCGATTCGACGACCCCTTCTTCTCTTTCACAACCCATGAGTCACCCAATGATGCAAATATGGGGATGCGTCCAAATGCGTGTTGGCAGGTGTTGCGAGGAAACAACAGGAAGGCAAATAATTGTGGGACCCCCGTTTGTTTTGACACAAATGCATGTACAAACCTAGCAGCCAACATGCATGGGAAACCCCGCCACAGTGTCAGTGTTCTTTACATGTAAACATGCTCAACTGGGCAAACTGACCCCTGCAGAAAGTCAGCGTGCTGCTATATTGAGCAAGGCAAGCTGGTAATTGGGATTGTCAAAAAGTCATGTTGGTCAAAAACCAAAGCCAAGACAATCGCACCTTATACTCTTGCCAGCAATCATGGAAGCGGGGAAACGGTCTGCTTGAGATGATGGCTCCAAACACCCTCTGGTCCACTTCCATGATTGTTGGAGAGAGGCTCAGTGTTGACCCTGGATTGGTACATCTGGCAGATGGCTGCACTCGTCACAAAATCGGAAGCGCGGCAGAGAGTCTTGAGAATCTGGAGCAGGGTGGCGGGTTTGCGGAACGATCAGGTGAAGCTGAAGAGGTCGTCAAAGGGCAAGACCAATGTTGATTGCCCCGAGTCGGTTGGCGCCTGGCCCATGTATTGGAAGCGCCACAGACGATGCTCCGTAAACAAAACCGATGAATGACATGGATTAGCATCAACCGGGGGTTTCTACAGCAAAACTTGGACTGGGCGCGGACAGAGAATTCTCAAACCCAGTACAACAAGAAACCTCAACCCTTCCCGCTAAGAGGGGGTGTTTCTGAAATTCGCCCCCCCCAAAGGCCTTCTTTTGTGCAGGGTGAGGAGAGACCAGTGGCAGAAGGCGCGTTCTGTATCTATCAAACAAGACAGCCGGGCTGGAACACGGTCTCCTTGTGGCTTCTCTGTCGAAATCCCAAACGGGGAGGTTCAATGCTTGCGACACACCTGAGTCATAATCAAATCACGGCAATTGTATTCTAAAATACCAAATGCGGATGCACCCATTTATGGTTGGGATCCTCCTTTAACCTTCATCTACCCGGGTCCAATCCTTGCGACAACACCAGCCCACTTCCCCCCGGGCCGTGCATGGCCGTCTCGACAAACTGCTGGGCTGCCTGTCCGCACTCAAAGGCGGGTGCCTTTTCGAGTCTTTGGGGGGCAGTCGGGGGCCGAGCTTCTTGGTTTTCTTGCTGCTCCTATAGGGCATGACCGAGTCCGGGTGTTGGGAAGGAACCAAACAGTTTTTGGGTATTTGGCAACCATAGGAGATTCTCTCGGGGTGATTCCATTTCTCATTCCCTGCCTAGAGAACCAGCTGGTTATTTTTGAACCCGTGCGCAAAGGTGGAAAGCACTAAAGTTGTGTGTCCAAATCGAAGGTTCGGTGCTGTTGAGCATCCAAGCCGTCCTGGCAGGCAGTTCTGCTCTCAAGCACGCCCTGATACTCTCAAGGACACCCTGAAGATGTGACTTTGAGTACTTGGTCAGAATCCAAAAACGAAACCAAATCAAACTGATTCACAGCAAATTGATCAACCTGAAATCGCGACCAACCCAACGGACCAGTGATATGGCTAGCCAGCGAACTGGAGAGGTCCTGCGCCTCTCTTTTCACATGTCTCGCAGTGCTCCTTTTAGAGCTCATAGGCTCAGCGAGCACCCGAAGTGTATTCAGAGCCCTTTTGTCCATGGCACTTTGCGCCCGTGTTTAAGGCTGTGAGGGGACACCAAGGGAAACCAAAGGCTCGTTCGGGAGGGACCATTTCCTCATAAAAACGCCATGCCCTCGGAAGCTTGCTTGCCGAACCCAAGCTGAACAAGCAGAACCACAATGGGGGGGAAGGGGGGACTCCTAGGCAACCCGGCGACACACCGGCGATGCGTGAGCCTGATGCCATGGCAGAGTGAACAGCTCAGGTGAGACGCTGGCGCCCTTGTAGATGTACCTCAGAAAGGAACCCCTCCACGCACGGGTCTCCCAGTGGTCAGCATGTCATCGATTTTACCCACTCAAACTGCAGTAGTTGAGCGTCTTGCAAAACGTGCTTGTGGCCGGTGCTTCCACTCGGGCTCGGGGGCTGTTGCCGCTTGCCGGAGGAGTTCCGTGCAAGGTGGATCGCTAAGGCAACCTCGTGATAGGGAGATGGGACCCCCAAATTCCTCATCTACTGATTGCTTATCTCCTTTTTGCCCCGGTGCAACGCGCATCCTTTCTCACTCCCAGGATCCTCTTGCCCCCTTGCTACCTGCCAAGAAAAGGCCACTAAGCTCGCCTGAAGCTCATCTCTTGCGCCGCATTGGTTCTTCGGAACTCCTGTTCAAGACCATGCTCCCATTCAAAGTGAAAGTGGCTCGAGAACTCACTTGTGCTTGGAGATCCCCACATTTGCTCCTGCATCAACGGGCAAAGGGCCGTCAGTGGCTCCAGAGGCCCCATCTGGTGGGGCTGCTCATTGCAAGAGAGGCTTGGGATGGGCTCAAGGTGGAATGTGTATGTTTTCAGTTGCTGTATTTTCGTCAGAAAGGGTGCCTAACTGCTGGCTGACGTTGTCTGTTGCCACAACTCCGCGTCGCCACTGGTTGTTTTTGCCATGCCGCTCTGCCGCTTAAAAACAGGAGTTCTGACATTGCTCGAATCTTCCGCTTGCATTAGGCGTTGGGATCAGAGCCCATCGCATCTGACTTGACACATTGCAATGATATTCTCGCACTGACATTCTCGCGGAGACACGAAAAGGCAGTCAGGAAAAGTCGATCTGGGTTTGTTCCCAATACCACAAAGGAGACCCCCGCAACAGGTGGCAATTGACGTCCTTTCGGCTTCCCTTTAATCCAACCCCAAAAAGTGGTACCAACAAAAAAAGACGAGCCACTCACTCCGGGCTCTCCGGCCGGACCACCCGCTTGCAAAGCTCGGTGTGGTCCCAAGTCTTCTCCTCGACCCGAGTTCTACGGATTTCTCGTTTGGACGTGTACTGCGCAAGGACGAAAGCTCACATGCGTTTGTGATTTTTGGGGGGGCAACTCTCACTTGGTCTTAAAGGAAACTAGAAAGGACCCCCCACCTTTTGTAGGTCCCCTTAAACAGAAGACGAGCCACAACTGGTTCTTTGGGAGCCCCTCCAAAAAGGCCTTTGCCTCGCTTGCAAACAAACACAAGGCACCTCCAAAGCGAGGTGGCAGCGTTTCCAGGCCGCGCGCTGGAAACGCAATTCAAGCCAAGTTGCTGTCGTACAAAGTGTACCAAGGCACGGGTTTCGGTGGCATGGGAATGTCCAAAACAGCTCACAAATGCACATGTTGGTGGGTCGGACACTCAAACATGTACATGTTGGTGGGTCGGACAGCCCTGAATCCAAGATCAAACCTTTGACAGGCTTTACTGGCAAGTAGCTTCCAAAAGAACTGAGGAGCTAAGGTTCCAGCAAAGTCTAGCCATGATTTCTCCCTAAGACCAATCAGTGCTGCGATGTTTGTCAGCTGTGCATCTCCGCTTGAGAACGTCCCGGTCTGGTAGATTTATTGCTTTGAAGACACGTCCTATGCCAGTCCTTCGTTCTCAACAGGCAAAGTGGGTGCCCTGTATGTCCTTCGTCAACCGGCAGGAAACTCTGCATAAAACCACCCAAACATGGAAATGAAGGGAACCCTGAGGAAAGATTGCCTCACTTACCAAAGCACCTGGAAACAAAAGGTTCACCTTTTGGAACCCTCACCAAATGGTCGACCAAGAAGGGAAACCAACAGGTCAAAAGGTTGATTTGACAACCAACTGAGTTGCCAAAGTGCGAGACCGTTTTCACATATCTGGGTCTCAAGGACCCCCTGCCAAAGTGAAACGGCCTACCTCGCAAGAAAAACAACTTCCGCGGAAACTCCCCAGCAAAAAAAAACATGTGGAACCCCAAAGAAGGGTGTGGCTTTCCCCGAAAGATCCCAACCAGGTTTGCTTCTTCCGGCGGGGGAGGCGACGGAGAATTCCTGCTCGGCGATCTTCTTGGTCGCCTCGAGTCGATCCATTCGTGTCTCGTGGTGGCATGAAACGGGCGAGCGATGTGGCTGTGGTTGTCAAAACTGTTTTGGGATCCCATTTTGGTTGGTTGGTGAATTCACCACCGATTTTGGAACCTACAAGGACGTACAAGGCTTGAGTCACAAAACGTCTCGGCAACAGGTTTAAACCTCCCAAAGGACGCATCGGACCCTCATGCGAAGCCCCCAAGGGCAGGGAATGCCAACTCTTTGGCCATGCCGGCATAGATTGGCCACAATGCGACCCCATGGTTGCGCCCAGATCAAAAAAGCTCTGGTGGATTTTGATTGGGAGCCGTTTCGTGGGAATGAGGATTGATCTGGGGTCAAGCTGTGGCAGGAAGGCAACAAAACGGAACCCATCACATCCGTTGTGGTTTCCTTTGGAGGAATCCCTTGGGTCATCCCCAAACTGGGCTATTTGGTTCATTCCCAAACTGGGTCATTCCCTGCTCAGCACCAGCAAGATCAAATGCGCCAACTTCCGGGCCTTCCAGACCTGCTTGTTCAAGACATTGTGGACCTTTGACAGCCTCACAGGCCGAGGTCGGGCCCGACCCATCAGTGATCAAATGCAGTGTTACAGGATAACCTGCCACGTCCATCCTTGCAATCAGCATTCCTCCAGCGGTACATTATTGTTAGTCGCTTACCACACGCAGGTGCAAAAGTCCGGGGGAGAAAAAAAAGAAAGAAGGAAAAACAGTGCAAGCAATCCTTGAAGGCTCGCATGTAGTCGCCTTCTTTTTGTTTTCTGGGTAACCTGCCTTTGGCCTCAACCTGTTGATGGCAAACCCGGCGCGTGCTGGGGACTCGGAAAGGCCCTTTCGACGTTACGGCTGGGGATCGGATGGCTCTCGACGGTTGAGAAGCCATACGGAGAAGATCGGACCTACCAGGCATCGGGAGAGAATCAACATGAATTCGAAACAAAACACTTGGGAGGATCCAACTGGCTCTGATTCACATATGCCTTTCGGTCTTCCCTGGTGAAGAGGGAGAGAGAGGATAATAGAAGCAATACTACAGGCATCTGCTCCGAGTCGACTTGCGAAAAGCAGCTCGGAGCCGAAAACCCACAAATACACAAGGGAATCCCAAGTAAGCCTCCAAACATGATAGGCGTTGGAGGGGGTCAAAAAATCCGCGCCCCCCCCCCCCCCGCCCGCAATGGGGGTTTCTAGTTTTCAAGACCCCACACATTCAACTCAGGCGGGGTCATGTTTGCGCGGGGCTCCGGAGCTGAGGGTCGCCCTAGCAACCAGAAGACTGGAAGTTCGCAGGCTGCGATGGCTCCCCGTGCTCTGAATCAGATGACAAACAAAAACGGGCCTGGTCGCCAGCAAGAGTTTGTCCAAACGGCCCAAGGACTGAACCCGCAAGGCGTCTCGGGCACGTGCGCTGTGCAAATGTTTGAAACAAATGGACCTTGAGCTTGGGAAACTGCAAGGGATCCACTTAGATGTGCCTCGGAATCAGAAGGGTTTGCTGAAGGCGAATTCCTTGGTGCGTTAATCCCTTATAGTTGTCTGGTGTCATAAACTCCTCTAATCTCTAAACATCTACCCTCAACAAGCATGGAAGTGGTCTTTGGAGCCCTGTCCAAGAGGAGAGTAGTCTTCCAACGAGGGTCTTTGCACATGACTATGTTTGGGATTTATTGTCTGAGGGTATGGCGTGGTCTCATCTTCTACTATGTGTCTGGATACGAGCTCTGATGAATTGAACACAGTTTGCTTCTACTTTCTTCAATTGAACCCGATTCCTCTGGCTGAGTTTAGCTTCTTGGGAAACTGTCCAACGGGATCCACTTAGGCGTTCGACCACCGTTCCAAAGGGATTCCTTGTTCATCCACCTTGGAATGGATCCCTTGCATCGGGAATGTTGGAGCCATTTTTAGTAACTTGCCCAAAGCACCTGGAAATAAAGGGTTCACCTCTTGGGACCTTTACAAGTGGATCACGGGGAAAAGCCGAAAGGTTGAAAGGCCGACTCGCTTTGAACTCCTGAGGTGCCCTCCCACCCTTGTCACGAGAAGGAACCTGACGTGTTTGTTCTTTTCTTTCTTTTTTTTCGGAGTCCTGGAAGACGACCATGTTCCTGTTGAAGAGACCCAGGTAACGGACATCAGCTTGACATATGTTAGTTGGTGGTTCCTTTTGACAGGGGACCGGATACAAAAGGTCAGGTTCCGTGTGAAAAGGGCGGGAGGGCAATCGACTTTTGGGTCATCCACTCCACTTGGTATATCCAATTCATTTCTTGGGGGTAGTGTTTCGTGCAGGATATGTCCCGCTTTCCCTGAGGGCATACAGTGGTTTCTCGGTTGCTTTCTGCTCCCCTGTTAAAAGTTTAACTTTTAGTGGTTCCCATTAATAGTTGGCAAAAAGTTAAAGTCCTGACATCCAAGCAACACGCAACAAAGGTTTGAGGTAGTACTTGGTTTGGTTCATCCACCTTCGACGCTCGAAAGTGGAGCGAGATCAGGGCTCCGGCACCTCGTCCCGGTCCATGACCGGCCCCCCACGCACCACCGGCCTCTCTGGGCAAAAAAAAGGCCCCAAAAACGACCCCTCTTAAAAAGGGGGGAGGGGGGTGGTTTTGGGAAAGCCGGGGAAAAAATGGTCTTGGTTCTTGATCTGGTTCTTGACAAGAAACCTTCTTTTACCTGGGCTGTCCTCAGATCCCCCGGTAAAAGTTAAACTTTTAGTGGGTTAAATGGAAACCCCATTAAACACTAAAAAGCTAAAAAGCCAAGGGGATGGCCGAGAGCACCAAATTACCGTTTTAGTTCAAGGGTGCAATGCTCAAGGGGGTTGCCTTTTGAGTTTCAAAGGGCGGACCCATCCCTGTTGACTCCCTTATAAAATTGAGTTCAACGGCACTGGCGGTTTTACGGACACCCCAAGCAAGAACTCGATGACAAGCTGACAGAAAGAGGCCCATGGTCTAGCAGAACATCTGAAAAGGTCAAAGAGTCTCGGTCTGTCTCGACGCATCATCAAACTGGGTTGCCCGTTGGTTTCCCTTCACGCCACTGCCTAAAAGGGCCCTCAAACAAGACACACCCAAACATCATCTTCCCAAGTCTAAAGACAGAACATGCTCCTTTGGTGGCTCTGTTTGAGGTGGCTTGAACATCGGTTTAACTTTGAAGGAACAACCAACACGCCTGGCATGCGGTATACGGCAATTCAGCTGGCTGATAGTCTGGCAGACTTATGTGCCAATGAATGTGTCCTGAAACCTGCCTTGTTTTCCCTTCAAATGTCCCTTCAAAACAACCCCACCAATATAAATCCCCGACTGCTGGTACGCAGCAAGCTAGAACTTCCAGACTGGGCATGCCTCCAAGTTGGGAAACTACCCATGGGGATGTAGCGGAAGCGCACTGAAAAGTGCCCAGCAAGGCTCAGCAAGGGCAACAGGTGGAATCAATAAGCACAGCTTCCAAACCGCTCCCTAGATTTGCACAATTTCAATCACTGCCATAGCTATCAAATCCCTCAAAAGCTTGAGGCGAAACGTTCGGCTTTCAGGAAGCACACACTGGAACGGACATCTCTCTCCAAAAGCCAGGTAGCCCGACCAAATGTGACTCCGTAAACCCGTGCTTTCCTTGAAGCCACCAAGGCCCAGGATTGGTACCTATCGACCAGACCCTTCTGAAAGCTCCCCTTAGGAAAAGCACAAACAAAATGTTTGTGGGCACAAAACCTCTTGGGCAACAAGCAAAACCATGGCGAACCTTCGATATTTTTGCCCGTGAAGTCCCACCGCAGCATAGAACCCAGGGTGTCCCTTTGAAAAATGTGCCTTCAAACGGTGCCTCAATCTCAGGAATCGGGCACAAGCTCACTTCGGATGGGGCCAAAAACTTATAAGTCATGAAACTGGTTCTTTGCCACTGCAAACGGTCCAACCTCGAAAAAGTGAGCCCCAAAGTCTCAACTCGGGCCACCGGGCGCGTAGCCGCCCCGGTAGGGCCCCACCGGCACATGGTGCGCCGGCGCCTTTGTTCGGACAGAAAGAAGCGGCCAGTCCCCAGTCCACTGGTGGATATGTGTCTGTTTCTGGGGGACCCCCAAAATGGAGTCCATGTTTTACGTTTGAAGTTTCCCCATGAAAACCCACAAAACAAGGGTGCCCCTCAACCAAAATGGACAGCCCCCACGTCTGGAATATTTGTTTTTTAATGGGGTTCAACACAAGATCAACACTCCTGCGTGACTACGGAGTATGGTTTCCTCGTTTTCTGGGCTTGTCAGCAAGAACAGGGGTCCATTTGGTGACTAGTCAAGGTGGACTTAAACGCAAGGGCTGCCATGGAACCTGACGGTTGGTCCTCAATAAGAGACACACCCGCATGCCCGAATAGTTTATCAGCCTTGATTTCAGGGACCTTCATGGGTTAAATTTTGACTCGCTCGTTGCACGCCCGAATGGGTGAGCTTGCTATGATTAGTGCATGCATGGTTGATAGCTGCTCCTCATAGGAACCCAGGATAAACCATTACCGGTAATGCATAGGGAGATCCCAATGCTTCACCGTTGGGGAAGAAAGCCTAATTGATTTGCGAAAATCGGGGGTCGTTTACCAGATTTGAAGCCCTTGCAAGTCATCCGGAGGTGCTACCCAGCTTTTCCCTTGTAAACAAGAGTCTTCCTGGGGATCAGTTCGAGCACTTGGACTGGAGAAACCGGTGTCTCGTTTCTCTTCCTCCGGTTATTTTTTACTTGCAGCCTTTTGCTTCCACGTTTTAGTATCTTATGGTGACTGCCGCTGACATGCAAACCAACAGCAAAAGCATCACCGTTTGATTCTCGTCAAAGGGAAGCCAAGCGCCACGCCAACGCTCCACCGCTCCAACGCTCCCCGCTTCGGGCTCCCGGCAGGCGCCGCTTTGCCAGTCGGCCGGCCTGGCGGCTTCTATCTGGGGGCTGGTTGCAGTGGCTCCAGTGGCTTTTTCCATCTGGTTTGGTTGGAGGAAAGCTATCTTTAGTTTCCTTGATTTTCGTTTTGGTCTGGCTTCCTTTCGTTTCCTTTGGTTTCTTTTGGTTTCTTTTGGTTTGCTTTGGTTTCCTTTGGTTTTTTGAGGTAATGTGAGACTCTCTCTGAACTTCGCTGGGATGCCCATAAAATCAGTTGGCCTCTATAGTGAGACTGTAAAACTTTTTCAGGCTCGGGCTCGGTCGAAAACGGGTCCACTCCGTGGACATGTTGATCATCTTGACTGGCACTTCCTCACCACCTGCTTGGCAAGACCCTCGGTGTGAGGATCCAAAGTGGCGCTGCACTTCCATGTTTATTGGCTTGCTGATTAGTGTTTAAGCTTCAAACCATCACCAAAGCCCGCCCAGCAGAGGTTCTTGGAATCTTCCTGCAAAAACTTGGAAGGGTTCTCATCGAGACTTTCTGTGTAGGGAGCTGTGTAGGGAGGGAAGGCTTCGTCTCTCCCTAGTCAAAGGTGCATCAAATCCGAAGATCTGTCTTCACCAAGCTCTCTTGCATCGCACTTCTTGGCAGATCGAGCACAGGTAGGTTCCCGGGTAGAGTAACCTTCCCTTCTAGGTCCTTCAGTAGAGAGATTAGAATAAGGGTACCCGATTTGTTCTCTGTAGTCTATTTTAGTAGAGGAACTCTCCCCAAAAAAAGAAACGGAAAACGGGCACTACTGGGGAACCTAGCCTTGGTTTCACTGGCGATTCACTGGATCATTTCCGCTCGTCTCACCCGGTAAACAGCCTCAGGGCAGTGAACAGACCCAGAGCCCCAGAGCCATTTGCCCGTCCTTGAGGTCGATACTGGCCCTGGGCGAAAGGGCGAAAGGGCGCGAAAAGGGGCGCGTGGTTTGGGCTGGATAAGTGACAACCGTTGCGGGAAGGAGGGGGGAAGGAAAGGGTCATGTCCTATTATTATTTTGGGGGGGGTTTGGGGAGGTGGGGGTAAATTACCCAAATGGCTTAGGTATGAGCTTGAATTGATTCAGCAGGGGCACTGAAGTTATTCAATTCCCGGGAACCAGTCACCCACCCACGGCAAGGACAAGAAGTTTGTAGTCAAAGAGCCTTGCGAGAACTTTTCGCATTAACAGCTCTTCGCGCAGCCCACGGCCCCTGCTTGGGCTGCTCAAGCAAACAAGCGGTGCTAGCGTGCGATTCGGCCTCTTCAGGTTGGAGGCTGCAAGTCATGCAGCTTCTCTTTCGCACAATAGATCCGGCATCAGGAAAACGACGCCAAACGCATCTTGGCGCAGATTCGTGATGCGCATTTCTCCCAGAACGAATTGCAGTGGAATCTCTTTTGGGTTCCATCTGGATGAGTCCTGTTGGGTGGTACCCTTGTTGGGGTTGTCTTGAAGGGAACCTGGAAGGAAACCGCCCCATTTGATAACCCCATCTTCCAAGAGACATGAAGGTTCACAGGCCCATGTTGGAAGACGACATATCTTTCCTTTTGTAAAGCGCCTCTTTGCACCAAACCGTAACACTGGAGGGTCGGGGAGGCTTGGATTGCAACAACTTCTCACATCACCGTCCGGCTTTTCCAAGAGCTTCCTCTTCCAAGTAGGCAAGCGCTGAGTGCTGCAAAATACCACGTGGCACGACGTCGCTTGCCGGTCCCATGCATGGGTTGCCAATTTCCGTTCCCGTCCACAAGGAAACCTGTGGGTGTTCCATGGAACATGGGGGGCATGGTTTCAACGTCTGAAGTCCAGGAACCCTGCCGTATGCCAAAACGGCCCCCCCTCGCTCGAACGCCAACAGCGGCCTTGGGCGCCGCCGTGGTGTCTGGTCTCACCTCAGCGAGGTAGGCTCGGCAGTCGGGCGTGCACTGTCTCCAAAACAACGGAAGGGGGGGGGGGCCGTGGCAGGGAACAATGCGTATCATGTGAACCGGCTCCTTTTTCAGCACTTGCCACTTGATCTGCGCGAAAAAAGGGATAGCAGCGTCGCAGATTTGCACGGTCAGGTCAATCCAGAAACTAATTCCAATTCAACATGTTCGTTTAATCTATTTTAGCGTATCTCATATTTAATTATCTTTCTCAGCTCTTCGTGTTTCTCTTGCCTTGCGATTATTGATGTCATGGACTTCAGAAGTCTTATCAATGGAGCAAAGTAGAGACAAGTGATTAATAGGTGATACAGAAATGACCAAGACTTGGTACTGTAGATTACAATAATCAATTCATAATTGGGTCTAGAGAGTCTATAGACAGGAAATGCCTACCAATAAGATCTCAAGGAAGGGTGGGCTAAGGAATCTCCATTGCTTATTTCTCCCCCCTTCTTGTTTCCCTTTATCGCCCCAACTCTTTCTCTCGGAAGCAGGGGTTGGGTGATAGGAGGTAGAAAGGGAGAGAAGGGCGAGAGAGAGGAAAAAACTCATTGATTGGCCATCTCACGGCCCCATCCCCTCACCTCATTTTCATTGGCTGGGAGATGGATGAGGATGGTAAAAGATATTCTTGGAAAGTGAAGACATGCCAAGAAAAAAGGGCGAGGCTGTCTGGCCGCATGATTCAAGCCTCTATCTTACCACCTTACCACCACCCTTTCTCCCCTTCATTTCTATTCCTCACCACCTACAGCTTCCTTGAAGCTGAGATGGAGGTGGGGGCGGGGAAAGAGATGAGAGAGTGGGCAAGGAGATGGATGGCCATCCAACCATCTTGTTTCCTTAGTCATCTGGGTTCTTCATTCTAATTCTCTTTCCTATCTCTTTCCTAGCCGTTTCAACGGTGAGAATGGAAAGGAGAAAAGAAATTCTTCCCAGCAGTTACAAATGAATTCCTCTTTCTTCATCTCTTTTCAGCTTCTCTTTCCCAACCTCTTGCCCAGTTATAAGTTTCTTTGGGAAACAAGCTGGAATGTCCTTATTGTCGAATTCCAATCATCTTTACCTGTCATTCCCGTTCTCTTTTAATAGCTTTGGGAGTGACATGAGAGGGAGATAGAATGGAGAAAGGGAATGCAAGAGATGGAAAGAATCTCAAATGATAAAGCGTCTCTGATTTATACTCTTAGAATATGGAAGCATTTTTATGATAGTAACATCTCTTTCCCTGTCTCTTCCTTGCTTGCCCTGACTCTTCGCTCGCTTCTTCACTCATCATCACCTGCAAGCGAGAGAAAAGGAGATTAAAAAGGTGGGTGAAGGAGAGAGTGGGTGGGCTCACCTTGTCACGTTTTCCCTCTCATCCTATCACATCCAAGAATTAGAAGCTAGAGATCATGGGAGGTAGGTAATGAGAGGTAAAAAGTGAGAGTGATGATGGCGCCTTCTCTTTCATTAGCCATCATATGACCGCCCTCCATCTCTCTCTCACTCTCTCCGGTCGTTCACCTGGCATGCGATCCCTAGAGTTCACAACAAGTAGTGGAGAGAGACATTCCTTGCCCAGCTCCAGCTCTAACAGGTAGGATGATGATGGAGGAGCTGGTCATCTCCCTCTCGCACGCCTTCCCTTGCCATCTCTTAATTCTGGAGTGGCGAGGATTGTATGCAAGAGAAAGGAATGCAACTCCTTCTCCTTCTCTATCACCAACATCTCCTTTCCCTTAACCATGTCACAGAATCCAGAACGTCTTTCATGTCATTTGGGTTCTTCATTCTAGTTCTCTCTCCTATCTCTTCACCCCTTCTTCTTTCCTAGCCGTTGCAACGGTGAGAATGGAAAGGAGAAAGGAAATTGATGACGAGAGAGGTAAAGTGATTAGGTGAGAGGTGGCCAGAGGAAATTCCATCCGCTGGCCAGTTCTTTCCAGCAGTTACAAATGAATTCCTCTTTCTTCACCTCTATTCAGCTTCTGTTTCCCAACCTCTTGCCCAGAAACGAGGGAGGTCAAGAGAAGGGAAGTGAATGAAAGCTAGACGAGCTGGAATGTCCTTATTGTCCCAGCTTTTCCGTTCACTCTCTATCTCTTCCCCAATCATCTTTACCTGTTGACCCTCTTTCTCTTGCTCTCTCCGTTGGCCCCACAGCTCTAACAGATAGGATAATGACGGAGGAGCTGGTCATCTCCCTCTCACGCGCCTTCCCACGCCATTTCTTCATTCTGAAATAATGGCAAGGACTCTACGTGAGAGAAAGAGATGTCACCCCTTCTCCCTCTCTTATGTTGGCTCTAGAGCTGGCGAAGGCATGAGACGAGCTGAAGCTCCATTGCCTGTCCTTTTCCTATCTTCTCTCCCGGTCTTTAAGGAGAGATAAAGGATGTGCATGAAGAGAGAATGATGGACGAACGAAGAGAGAAGCCTTGTGAGGGCTGGCCCAGCATTCATCTCTATCCCTCACTCTCTATCCTTCGTCTCCCAAGCCTTTATCCAACACACAGCTACTTGCGGTTGTGGGTAAAGGCGTGGAAAAGAGAAAGGAGTAGCATGAAAGGGTGAATTGCCTTCACCCCATCCAACAGCTAAAAAGAGAAGCATCTTTCATTTCTCTTCCTACCCCTTTTACGCTAGTGAGAGGCATGTCCTCCACCTTCCCATCCCTTCCTCACTCTTTCCAACCTCTCTGCTTGCTCGCGAACAAAGGGGGCGACATGCCTTTCACGTCCTAGCCCAGGGGCGTGCAGGATGCTCAATGTTTTTTGATGTTGAAACTATAGAATTGCTAAAAAAAATTTTTATCAAAGTTCTAAAATTCGTACCCCACAAATCTAGAATTTCGAGAATATTTAGAATTCAATTCCAAAAATTCTAAAAATCGGACCCCGAAGTTTAGAATTTGTAGAATTTTTAGAACTCAATTCTAAAAATACTAAAAGTTCCAAAAATCGGACCCCCGAAATGTAGAATTTTTAGAATTTTTAGAATTCTAGATGGTCCCAGCCCAGGAGGGGCCCCAGCCAGGACCCTTGATTTTTAGAATTTTTAGAATTTTTAGAACTTTTAGAATTTTTAGAATTGAGTTCTAAAAATTCTAAAAATCGGACCCCCGAAATTTAGAATTTTTAGATTTTTTAGAATTCTAGATGGTCCCAGCCCAGGAGGGGCCCAGCCAGGACCCTTCATTTTTAGAATTTTTAGAACTTTTAGAATTGAGTTCCAAAAAAATCTAAAAATTCTAAATTTCGGGGGTCCGATTTTTAGAATTTTTAGAATTTTTAGAATTGAGTTCTATAAATTCTAAAAATTCTAAATTTTGGGGGTCCGATTTTTAGAACTTTTAGTAGAATTGAGTTCTAAAAATTATAAATTTTGGGGGTCCGAAATTTAGAATTTTTAGACTTTTTAGAACTCAATTCTAAAAATTCTAAAAGTTCTAAAAATTCTAAAATTCTAAAAATAAAGGCTCCTGGCTGGGCCCCTCCTGGGCTGGGACCATCTAGAATTCTAAAAATTCTAAAAATTCTAAATTTCGGGGGTCCGATTTTTAGATTTTTTAGAATTTTTAGAATTGAGTTCTATAAATTCTAAAAATTCTAAATTTTAGGGGTCCGAATTTTAGAATTTTTAGAACTCAATTCTAAAAATTCTAAAAGTTCTAAAAATTCTAAAAATCAAGGGTCCTGGCAGGGCCCCTCCTAGGCTGGAACCATCTAGAATTTTACAAATTCTCTTAACTAAGACTTGGTTATCAAAAGGCGAATGGCCCGTTCACATTATACATAAAGTTCCCTCGTACGGGGGGGGGGGGGGGGGGCCTGTTGAGGGGTCCCCAGAAATGCCCGATGCTTCCATTGCCACCCAGTGCGCGCTTTGAGCAGAAGCTGTCGCTCCGTCAGCTATGAAATCAATCCCCATTCAGCCTCCGTGCCTTCATAAAGCGCGGGGCGCCTCCGAACAACCGAAGAAATCCGGACGGTAGGCAAGGCCAAGTTGCGGGCTGGTGTGTCGTGGGCTTTTTGATCTCGGGCGAAACCACCGAACCCAATGGCGAAACCACTGCACAAAACGCCCTGGTTAGAAGCAACATACCGGCAAAGTTGATGTCCCCAATCACAGATTCATGAAAACGCAACTCGGGGACGTCGCATTCGCTTAGCAGCACAACGGGCATGTGTCCTTCGCCTGGGGAAGCGAAACGCTTCTTCGGTCTTACTCATAATGAGAACAGTATTCTCACTTCAGCGATCAAGTTGGTCTTTTCTGATGTGATACTACATGAACGCAACCTGCTACGAGCTGAAGCACACCAAAAAGCCAAAACCAAAAAGGTAAAAAGCCAAAACGCCTCCACCCTCCGAAGTGAAACTTAGGATGTATCCCAAATCCCGCCGAGAACTACACAACTCACAGTCCAAGGGTACTAGAACTACTGTGAATGGACAAAATCTTGTGCCAGTTGGGTTGGATGAAACCCAACCAATACTGGGACAAACTTACCGAATGATTCTGTCCATCGTGGATACGGAAAAGCAGCGATGTCATACTCTTAATGACAGGGATATCCCATTCCCTTCACCCATCGTTCTTTAGAAACCACCGATTTTTCAGGGCTTTGGCCCATATTTGGAAGAGAAGGATCCCTGAAGAGGATCCGGGCAGGGCACTTACCTCGTGGATCCGTGGGCCGCAGCTCCTAGTCGCGGGGAGCGCTCGACCAAGGGCCCCGAGCGTTCATGGCGCCCAGGCCGTTGGGATCTTGGTACCTAGCGGAAGGGTCCGGAAAGCTCGCCTGGGGATGGATCTGTGGATGGCTGCGCGAACCAAGGTAGAAACCCTAAGGTTGGTTGGAAGTACCAAGAGGAATGATGGGTTTCTCGGGTGTTGCGAAATGGGTGCCGTCCAATGAGGGATCCTATGGGAAAACATGTTCATGCTTGGAACACCCTCCAAAATGGTCAGGAAAAAGGACATAAATGCCCAGGGAAATGATATCCACAAAAGGTCTCAATCAAAAATAAGACCCTCATACGTCCGCCAAAGAGAGACAATCAAAGCTGATTGTTCGGCCACCCAAAAAGAATAAAAGACGACACCTGCACTGTTGGTGGGATGTCTCTCGGAGAAAACTGCAAGGGGCCTCACCTTGACCGTCACCACCAACTCCAAACTCCCTCAACTCCGTAAGTCACCCCCCCCCTCCCCCCCCAAAAAAAAAGGATGGAAAGCCCAGATCACAGCGAAGGTTGTCTTCGATTCCCAAACCCAGCCAGCTGGAGCCAACTGGGTGCCTCAGGGTCAATGTTCAATTGCACGGAGGTGGGTTTATTGATCGAGCCAAAACGATTGAACCAACGGGGGGGGGGGGGTCTATTTAGTTCCTGAGTCCAAAGCGCACTTAAAACTTGCCACCACCAAATTTTGCTGACTGGACCGGACTGGAAATTCTCACCCACATCTGACTGTATCAAGACCCCGAATAATAGAAGCTGAAAAGCTCAACTTGAAAGGGTTTTGGCCTGTGGCCCGACGCTCTGCAGACCTCTGCAACGCTTGCCACTTTTCACAGGAACATGAGCCTGGTTGCGTCCTTTAAGACACATTCGTGGAACTGGTAGATGGCTACCCTCCCAAAAATAAACAGGGAACCTGCACAGAGATCCCCGCCAAAGGAAAAGCCGGCCAGTTCTATGTTTGGGAGGGTAGAACCACACTGAAGCCAGTTCCACCTGTTTTGAAACAAAGTGACCCAAACAAGGACTACGGACATCAGGAAGTGGCTCTGGACAACGTCGCTACATGTGCGCCGTAGCCGCACAAACTCCATGTCCTAACCCTTCAATCACCTGAATCGTTTTGCTCCAGAGACCCCTTATTGAAGTAGCAAGTTGGCAAGGCGTCCCTTGAGGTATTTGCAACATGCCAGTAGGGCATTCAAGTGGAGCATTGCCTTCAGCGTGTCCCACTGTGACCATCCATATTCATATCCATAAAGGAAAACTAGAGAATCTCCTATGGTTTGGGCAATGTTCATTTCTACCGAATGGAAAACCAGGAACACCCTTGGAGGAAAACAAAAAGACATTGGTTCTACCAGAAAAAAAGAAAGAAACAGTCTAAACATGTGTTGGTCATTGTCTTGAGGCTGGTTGATTTGGAAACACTGAGAATTTGGCTTCGGTTTGGTTTTGGTTCGTCTCGTCACTCTCTAATCCTCGCTCACTTGACATCTAAAAAGAGATTTTCCATGATCAGCTGTTACTAAAGGAACAATCATAACAATGGCGGTTGAAAGAATCGCCGGACTTGTTGTGGTCTCCACGGCACGGCTTCAGCAGTACCGGTGGCACCTGGGGGGATTCACATTGCGTTACTCCATACCATCGCCTGGTTGAACAAAATATATGATCACTGGGCTGCCCTCAGATCCCCCCACTAAAAGTTTAACTTTTAGTGGGTTAAATGGAAACTACCACTAAACACTGAAAAGCTAAAAGGCTAGGGAACGGGATGGCTGGGAGCCACCAAGCTCAGACGTACGAATGGGACAGAGCTACGAATTCGAACCCCCGCAGGTCGCAGGAAGAAGGTGACCGCCGCCCCCACGCCCGGCAGGTCTTCCTGCACATCCTGGAGTGGGGCAAGTCCCGCGCGGGCGAACCAACCTCCCCGCCCCCCCGCAACCCCCGGCCTGACCAGGGTTTCCCAAAAGATACATCACCAGATTCACCAGAAAAAAGTCCGGCGCAGCTGGTAAACGCGACTTTCCTAATGCCAAAATGCATGCCCAGAAGATGCATTCGAAAATGACAGGACTCACCTGCATGCCCCTGTCCCCCCTTGCTCCTTAACCCCAGACTCTCCCCAACGGCCGGGGCCTTCCTGTAGCCAATTTCAATCGCCATGACAGCTTTCAAACCCCAAGGCCCATTCATACCCTTGGCCACTTCCTGTGAGTACCAACCTAAACCCAACAACTTTCCGCATCTGGCGCTTTGTCGTTTTGCTTGACCCGCAAGGTCCTCCGCAAAGCTTCGAGTTTTTGGGCAGTTGCTAAAATCAAGAAGAAACCTGCCAAAAAAAAACTGCCAATTTGATAAATGTGTATGATTTTCCTTTTTGAGGGACCCTTTGGAGGACATCATTCAGGTGGTGATTCATGTCCACGAGCCACTTGTGGGGGGAAGGGCTGCCCCAGTAAATGTCATCGTCATGTCAACAGGTAAGGTGCATGACTGACGCCAAACAACTGAAGTGCAATCAATCGGAAGAAAAGTCATGGTGGGGCGTCCTGGAAATCGACTGTAGTTCGGGGGGGGCTTGTAAAATTGGTCAAGCCCATTGCCGTTGGGTGGGAACCTGCTCCCATTTGAAGCACCCAAGTGTGTTTCCCCTCCGGGGGGGGTTGTACAACCAACTGTCGTTCTCTGCCGCCTTTCAAACCGGACATCTCCAAACCCAACAAGTGTCTTACATAATTCTGGGCCGGCCACGTCTGTTTTTTAGGGGAGCCCCCCAAAATGTTGCTTGTCCTTTGTTCCCTTTAAAACGTACCAAAAGAGGGTACCCTCAAAATGGACACCAATTAATAACCCACAGTTGTAAACTCACGACCTGAACCAAGACATCAACAGATTTCAGGTTGCCACGTCCAGGAGCCCGATTCGTGCACTTCGGCTCCTCTCCCGAGAGGAAGATCCGGCCCTGGTTCCTGGCCAAGGAATCCCCTCGCAACATCCACAGTACCTCGCAAGGGCTCCATTTAGAGAGAGAGAGAGACACACACACACAAAGAGACACACACACACAGACACAAACAGACACACACACACACACAGACACAGACACAAACACAGACACAGACACAGACACGGAAAGACACAGAGAGACACAGACACAGACACAGAGAGACACAGAGCGACACAGAGAGACACAGAGAGACACAGAGAGACACAGAGAGACACAGAGAGACACAGAGAGAGACACAGAGAGACACAGAGAGAGACACAGAGAGAGACACAGAGAGACACAGAGAGAGACACAGAGAGAGACACAGAGAGAGACACAGAGAGAGACACAGAGAGAGACACAGAGAGAGACACAGAGAGAGACACAGAGAGAGACACAGAGAGAGACACAGAGAGAGACACAGAGAGAGACACAGAGAGAGACACAGAGAGAGACACAGAGAGAGACACAGAGAGAGACACAGAGAGAGACACAGAGAGACACAGAGAGAGACACAGAGAGAGACACAGAGAGAGACACAGAGAGAGACACAGAGAGAGACACAGAGAGAGACACAGAGAGAGACACAGAGAGAGACACAGAGAGAGACACAGAGAGAGACACAGAGAGAGACACAGAGAGAGACACAGAGAGAGACACAGAGAGACACAGAGAGACACAGAGAGAGACACAGAGAGAGACACAGAGAGAGACACAGAGAGAGACACAGAGAGAGACACAGAGAGAGACACAGAGAGAGACACAGAGAGAGACACAGAGAGAGACACAGAGAGAGACACAGAGAGAGACACAGAGAGAGACACAGAGAGAGACACAGAGAGAGACACAGAGAGAGACACAGAGAGAGACACAGAGAGAGACACAGAGAGAGACACAGAGAGAGACACAGAGAGAGACACAGAGAGAGACACAGAGAGAGACACAGAGAGAGACACAGAGAGAGACACAGAGAGAGACACAGAGAGAGACACAGAGAGAGACACAGAGAGAGACACAGAGAGAGACACAGAGAGAGACACAGAGAGAGACACAGAGAGAGACACAGAGAGAGACACAGAGAGAGACACAGAGAGAGACACAGAGAGAGACACAGAGAGAGACACAGAGAGAGACACAGAGAGAGACACAGAGAGAGACACAGAGAGAGACACAGAGAGAGACACAGAGAGAGACACAGAGAGAGACACAGAGAGAGACACAGTGAGAGAAACCGACACAGAGAGAGACACAGAGAGAGACACAGAGAGAGACACAGAGAGAGACACAGAGAGAGACACAGACACACAGACACACAGACACACAGACACACAGACACACACACACACACACACACAGACACACAGACACACAAACACACAAACACACAGACACACAGATACACACACACACACATACACACCTTCATGTTCCAAATGCAAATTCTCGGGGTCATGGTGGGACAAAATGAACTGTTTCTGTCAAGTGTGGGTTTGAAAGGCTGGGGTGCAACGTCGCGCACCAACATGGGCCCTTTTTGGACGCGCTTGCTTGGCCTTACAATTCGTTAGTCTTATCTTGCTGGTGCGATAGGTGGGGAATGGCCGAGTCCGTGTGTTGGGAATGAACCGTTTTGCATTTGCCAAGGAAACCGTAGGGCTGAGACCCCGCAAGTTATTTGGCGTCAACTGGTCTTAGCTTTGCTTGGTGGTTGGTTTTGCTGGGCCTGATGGACCCATCTCCTGACCCCATATCGCTGCTTTCTCACAAAAACCGTGGCGCAAAGGGGGCCCCTTCCCTGGAAGAAGCGCGCGGCTGGGCACAAGAAAGAGGCATACTGATGGTGCCAGGCCCAAAAATCCTCAGACAAGCCATTTTTGCCAATTCATGCCGCTTGCATCCCGGATGCTGATGCAAATGAAAACCCACCCGAACACTCCTTCGGTGACTACCATGCCAGTAGCTCACTCGGCCTTGTTTGGCAACTCATTTGCCAGCAAAAGCACCGGTAGTAGAAACTGTGGAACATTGCCCCCCCCCACCCCTCTGTGGGTTTACATCCCTCTGGCTAAAAAACTGCCGGCTTGAATATTTGTCCACAACCATTGGGTATCGGTATGCTCCAAAGCAGAGAACCCAACAAAAACACAACTGCGTGGCTCCCTGTAGGTTTCCCTTGGAACCAACATGCAAAGGGCACCCTCCACAAACACGCGCCCATTTGGCTCTTCGTCCTCTTGATAGAGGCTGGGGAGTTGCAAAGGACTTCTGTCCGTTTTCGCCCTCGAAGAAACCGAAAGGATGCCTCAAAGGGAGACCGAAAGGAAACCACCCCGTTTTGGTGGTGAATCAACCAGGACTTTCCCACGCCCTTTTCAATGCTTCATGAAAGGCCAAAGTGTCCATCGAGTGCGTTGGCCAAAACAAAAGTCCAGGGACTTGTTCTCTCCCACTTTTTCCTGCCAACCAAACCCAAGTGAGGATCATGTGCTTCCCCTCTAAAGATAGCAACACTTGTTTTCCACCACTTTTTTTCTGCCAACCGAACCCAAGTGACCATCATTTTTATGTCCCCTCTAAAAATGGACAACCAACTTCCGTCCAAACCCAAGTGACCATCATGTTGTCTGTCCCCTCCGTGCCGATCTAAACGGACCTCGTTTCGGAGCTCAGGGGATCGCTCACACGGAAAAACAAAAATCCTCCAGGCCTCTGCGCCTCCGGGTGGTCCAGCGCCTGGCTGGCCTGCGAAGTCGTTCTTGGGATCAGCAGCTTCGTGCCGCTTTGGTGGCGGAAATCCAGACATTTCAAAAGCGAAACCCAGACCTAGCAGCGCCCTGTGGGCCCCTTCCGAGCGGAAGCCGTTTTGTTTTTGGTTGTTCTAGGGGTACCTGCCATTTCCGTTCTTAACCCAGGGATCCGAATCTTTCTAGAAACCTCCAGAGTCGCAGGGAAAACGGATCCGGTTTGTGAAAAGAACGATGGGTGAAAAGAATGGCTGGAATCAACCCCTAGAGCATCGCAACAACTAAGAAACCCTGGTTCTGATGGATTCCGCCGGAACTCAAAAATCCGCTTCCCTTCTGAGTGATGGTTTGGGTTGGTGGTTTGGGTTGGTGGTTTGCCACCCAAGAGTCCAACAAACGCTATGGTTTCTTAGGTGCTGCGATTTTCTGGATTTCGCAACCACCCACAGCGGTTTCATCTGCAGTTCCCAGAAATTAAGCCGCACCCATGAAAGGTGATGTTTGAACCGACCAAATGTTCAGCGCAAAGGATCCTAAGCTGTGCTTCATGCAAAATCGACCCATCGAACCTACAAAACTGGGGACCGTAAGGGTGTGCGGGTGTGCTCGGAGCATTTTGGGCAAGCGGTGTTTCTTCCCGATGTTCAGGCACACCCAACAAACAACAAGGACCCGGTTCTTTGATAAAGTGTTCCATCCGTGACTACTTTGTGTCACGAAATAGGCCTGCCGCTCTATCTCGCACTTATTGCGAGTTCCATCACTTCTGCGAGAAAACAAGCTATGCGCTTTCCCAACCAAAGAGCAGCCCGGGACTGCCAACATGATAATTTCACAGAAGTGGACGGGAGGGCACATCCAACAACGCCCCTGACCCCTTGCGCGGTGCGAATCAAAAAATTGGCCGTGGGTTAAAACCCAGTACCCCTGGTGAACATGGCAAATGGATGTTCCTCTACCCCAAAATGGAGCCATAGGTTCTGCCCCATGGCCAATTAACTGCACGAGTAGGGACGCCCCCGTTCGAACAGCGGGACGCTCTCGCGCCTGGATCCAGCCAAAGTTCCCGTGCCTCAAGGCATGGTCTGTCTGTTTTGAGGGTACCCATTTTGCTTGGCTTTAAAGGGAAACCAAGGAAACCAACCATTTTGGGCGGGGCCACAAAAAATGATGAGCCACCCATGGCCATGAAATGTTTCATCCTCCCTATGAACGACACCTGCATGGGTGTCCGGTCGCAAAGCAAATCCCAAAATGTGGGGTTGCGCTTACATGTCTGCCGGTCCTTTGCTTTGTGTTTCTCCAAAGAACGGACCCGAAAACACCACCAAGAAACATGCCGCATCCAATCCAACCACTTGGACAATCTCCCCTTTGGAGATCTTCCAACTGGCCACTTCACGCGGGGTCTGCGCTGATCTGGGTTGGTCTTTTTGAGGATACCCTTGTCAAGGTAGCCAAAAGGAAACCCACCGTTTTTCGGGGCCCCCTAAATTTTCCCCTACCCCCTACCCCCTACTCAAATACCCGCCTTTGCTTGGTATGCGTGTTTTTGTTGTGTTCCCTCGTGGGTTGTTGTTTTTCCCAAAAGCATCTCTGATGCTTGGGTTCTGCTTTAGGTTTTCTCTTAAGGTGCCTGGGAGCGATACAAGCTGTGACGACGGAGATAAGAAGGGATTTCCATTTCGTTGTGCTGCAGACCGGGCGTGCGATGCCGGCTGGGGGTGCAGACCGGGCGTACGAGGCTGGCTGGGGGGACGGCGGTGTGGGGCTGGCTGAACGGCGGTGTGGTGCAGACCGGGTGCGCAAGGCTGGCTGGAAACTGCCCGCGAGCGAGACTGGCTGGCTGGGTGGGCGTGGCTGGAAACCGCCCTGGCTGCGGGGACGGCGGTGTGGTGCAGACTGGGCGCGCAAGGCTGGCTGGAAACCGCCCGCAAGCGAGACTGGCGCGGTGGACGCTCGTGACATGCGGAAACCGCCCGCGAGCGAGACTGGCGCGGTGGACGCTCGTGACATGCGGAAACCGCCCGCGAGCGAGACTGGCGCGGTGGACGCTCGTGACATGCGGAAACCGCCCGCGAGCGAGACTGGCGCGGTGGACGCTCGTGACATGCGGAAACCGCCCGCGAGCGAGACTGGCGCGGTGGACGCTCGTGACATGCGGAAACCGCCCGCGAGCGAGACTGGCGCGGTGGACGCTCGTGACATGCGGAAACCGCCCGCGAGCGAGACTGGCGCGGTGGACGCTCGTGACATGCGGAAACCGCCCGCGAGCGAGACTGGGCGCGGTGGAGCGCTCGTGACATGCGGAAACCGCCCGCGAGCGAGACTGGCGCGGTGGACGCTCGTGACATGCGGAAGCCGCCCGCGAGCGAGACTGCCGCGGTGGACGCTCGTGACATGCGGAAACCGCCCGCGAGCGAGGCTGGTGCGGTGGACGCTCGTGACATGCGGAAACCGCCCGCGAGCGAGACTGGCGCGGGGGACGCTCGTGACATTCGGAAACCGCCCGCGAGCAAGACTGGCGCGGTGGACGCTCGTGACATGCGGAAACCGGCCGCGAGCGAGACTGGCGCGGTGGACGCTCATGACATGCGGAAACCGCCTGCGAGCGAGACTGGCGCGGTGGACGCTCGTGACAGGCGGAAACCGCCCGCGAGCGAGACTGTCGCGCTGGACACTCGTGACAGGCGGAAACCGCCCGCGAGCGAGACTGGTGCGGTGGACGCTCGTGACAGGCGGAAACCGCCCGCGAGCGAGACTGGCGCGGTGGACGCTTGTGACATGCGGAAACCGCCCACGAGCGAGACTGGCGCGGTGGACGCTTGTGACATGGGGAAACCGCCCGCGAGCGACACTGGCGCGGTGGACGCTTGTGACATGCAGAAACCGCCCGCGAGCGAGACTGGCGTGGTGGACGCTCGTGACATGCGGAAACCGCCTGCGAGCGAGACTGGCGCGGAAACCGCACGTGGGCGAGGCTGGCGCGGTGGACGCTCGTGACATGCGGAAACTGCCTGCGAACGAGACCGGCGCGGTGGACGCTCGTGACATTTGGAAACCGCCCGCGAGCGAGACTGGCGCGGTGGACGCTTGTGACATTCGGAAACCGCCCGCGAGCGAGACTGGCGCGGTGGACGCTCGTGACATGCGGAAACCGCCCGCGAGCGAGACTGGCGCGGTGGACGCTCGTGACATGCGCAAACCGCCCCCGAGCGAGACTGGCGCGGGGGACGCTCGTGACATGCGGAAACCGCCCGCAAGCGAGACTGGTGCGGTGGACGCTCGTGACAGGCGGAAACCGCCCGCGAGCGAGACTGGCGCGGTGGACGCTCGTGACAGGCGGATACCGCCCGCGAGGGAGACTGGAGCGGTGGACGCTCGTGACAGGCGGAAACCGCCTGACATGCGGAAACCGCCCGCGAGCGAGACTGGCGCGGTGGACGCTCGTGACATGCGCAAACCCCCCCCGAGCGAGACTGGCGCGGGGGACGCTCGTGACATGCGGAAACCGCCCGCGAGCGAGACTGGCGCGGTGGACGCTCGTGACATGCGGAAACCGCTCGCGAGCGAGACTGGCGTGGTGGACGCTCGTGACATGCGGAAACCGCCCGCGAGCGAGACTGGCGCGGTGGACGCTCGTGACATGCGGAAACCGCCCGCGAGCGAGACTGGCGCGGTGGAAGCTCGTGACATGCGGAAACCGTTCGCGAGCGAGACTGGCGCGGTGGAGGCTGTGACATGCGGAAACCGCCCGCGAGCGAGACTGGCGCGGTGGACGCTCGTGACATGCGGAAACCGCCCGCGAGCGAGACTGGCGCGGTGGACGCTCGTGACATGCGGAACCGCCCGCGAGCGAGACTGGCGCGGTGGACGCTCGTGACATGCGGAAACCGCCCGCGAGCGAGACTGGCGCGGTGGACGCTCGTGACATGCGGAAACCGCCCGCAAGCGAGACTGGCGCGGTGGACGCTCGTGACACGCGGAAACCGCCCGCGAACAAGACTGGCGCGGTGGACGCTCGTGACATGCGGAAACCGCCCGCGAGCGAGACTGGCGCGGTGGACGCTCGTGACATGCGGAAACCGCCCGCGAGCGAGACTGGCGCGGTGGACGCTCGCGACCGGCATGTCGCGAGACTGGCTCGGTGGACGCTCGTGACACGCCGGCGAGCGAGACTGGCGCGGTGGACGCTCATGACATGCGTACGCCATAATTGTCCTTTTTGCCGCACACTTGACCCGAACAAACGGTGCCAATGTGTTTCTAGGACGAACCCTCTCTTCAGAGTCTGTAGCCTCTTGGGGTTCGCTCTACTTCTTTGGAAGCAGCCTGGAAGCACGTTGACATGAATATGCTGAGCACACTCGGCCCAAACAAAAGGGCGCATGAACATCCGAACAGCTGACCCCGGTCTACGCAGATCGTGGTAACACTGTGTCTCAGACTTGTTTTGGACAGGCGTGAGACCCACCAAGTGACCGAGGCTTGTCCACACCGAGCCCCCCGCAAAAGCGCAGCGCCGGCCCCGTCTCCACACACCTGCGGCGAATCCACCCAACTTGCCATCCACACGCGTCCAATTGACAACATGCGCGGCCCTTTCCACAAAGTCACCAGTTGCAATTGGTTGCGAATGGGAAAATAGGTGGAGAAACTAACGAATCCAAGCAAGCTTACGAAGCAAGTTTGTGAAGGCCACGTGCACGGCTCCATGTGAACAGCCCGGCGTTCCAGGTGCGCCAAAATTGTCATTTTTGCCGCACACCTGACCCGAACAAATGGTGCCAATGTGTTTCTAGGACGAACCCTCTCTTCAGAAGCTGTAGCCTCTTGAGGTTCGCCCTACTTCTTTGGAAGCAGCCTGGAAGCACGTTGGCATGAATATGCTGAGCACACTCGGCCCAAACAAAAGGGCGCATGAACATCCGAACAGCTGACCCCGGTCTACTCGGATCGTGTTGTAACACTGTGTCTCAGACTTGTTTCAGATGGGTGTAGAGCGAGCTTATGCCTTGCTTCCAATTTGGGAGTGGTAGTTTGTGCGGATTTATTTTCGGATTTCTGCGATTCGTTCTTCATGATGAATCGGATGACTTCGTGCCTTCCATGTAGCGCGGGGCCTGTCATGTTTCACCCGTGCCTTTGCCTTTTTCTCTGTGCTTGGTCAGAGCACAGGCTGCTGGCTGCCAATCCGGCTTGAGTCGCGGTTGCTCCCCTTCTTCATCTGGTTTGGGGTTGATTTCCCAACTGTGAACAACTTAAATCTTGGTTTGCCTTCGGACCCTTGAGCCGGAAAACAACGGGATCCACATGCCAAGGGGAGTGAGGCTGGTTTGCTTTTGGGTTCCCGGGCTCCTCTTGTTTTTGAAGGGGGGGGTGTTATCATGTCAACCCTCTACTAAAACAGGAGGTACTTACCATGGAAAACATGTGTTTTCCAAACACACGAGTAGGGGGTATGTTGAAACATACCACCCATTTGGGTA